CAGGGTCCCAAAGCTTTGGGCTGTCCTCGACTGCCTTCCCGCGCCACGGGCAGGGAGCTGGAAGGGAAGTGGGGCTGCCGGGATTAGAACCGGCGCCCATATAGGATCCCGGGCGTGCAAGGTGAGGACTTAACCACTTGCGCCACTGCGCCAGGCCCTCTACAGGCCTTTGATTTGGGTCTTGAGGGACCCGTGGTCCACCCTTCATGCCCTGGAAGACTTTCAGACACCCTCGGAAGAGGACTGCCCATAGAGGTGAATGTTGGCAGTCGCCTTCTCACCTAAATGTGGGGTAGGTGTTTGGCACTGCATAAAAGATATCATTTGGGAGGTTCATGTCCTTAGTCCAAGTGCCTAGATGCCAGTCCTGGCTGCATTTTCCAATCCCAGGCAGCTGGGCAGGACTTGGATACTTGGGCCCCACCACCCACATGGGAGACCTGGGTGGGGTTTTGGCTTCCTGACTTCGACCTGTTTGACCTGGCCTAGCCTCAGCTGTTGTTAGGCATCTGGGGAAGTGAACCAGCAGATGGAAGACCCTCCCCGCCCCCATCTCTGTGTGTATATGTATCTTTCCACTTGCAAATAAAAATGAAAAAAAAAAAAAACTAAATAAAAAATTTTCAGGTAAGTTTTGTATGCTGTTGTACGAGTGTTCCCTGTGATAAAGAAGGTGCCTGCATCTTTCTAGGAAGAAGAATGGGTACCCCCACCCCCAGCATGCCAGGGTGCTCGCTCATCTGAGGGCTCAGAGCATGGTACACCACTCTGTCTTGAGGCCTCAGTGCTTGCGTTCCCTTTTCTCTAGCCCAGTCCTCCACATTCTTGTCCATCTGTCCTGCTGGGTAGCCTGAGGACGGTCCATGGGGTTGCTCCGTGTTGGATTCGAAATGAGCAAGGCAGGGCTCTCGTGGGTGCCGGCACGAGGCGTGGTGCACACAGTTGACTTGAAGCTGTGCAATGCTCAGTTCTGGCTCTGTTCTGACCTGACTCAGCTCTTAGTCCCTGCAGCTTCGTGGTCACAGCTTTCTCACCTACAGGGCAGATCCCATCTCTAGCGAGTGGGAGGCCATGGCAGCACATTCTCCTGCACATGCCAAAGTGGCCAGGACAAAGTTCTGTGACCCCAGAGGCCAGTATGGGGAGTGTTCTTTGCCATCTGCTTGGGTCCTGGCCTTGCCATTTACATGCCCCCTGCCTAAGTGGTAACTCACAGTGCTGTTCCACAGAAGAACCAACATTTGTCATCATTGACCTGCTGCAAATGGATGTCACTACACCAGGCACCCAGGGCTACCCACAGGAAGCCTCCTGTCCCCAGACGTCTTGTGGTTTTTGCAGCCTGTCCAGGTGAACATGGTCTGCTGATTGGTTCTGAAGGGAGATTGGTTGACCCTGAGGCTGAACCTCCTCCCCAGCAGGCCACCACCCACTGCACCCACCTTGATTGCTCCCTTTTCTAGCTTGGGGATGCTCATCTGCCTTTCTCAACCCTCTATCCTGCCTGTGGTCAGTAGAGCTGGTCTCATTAGGCCCTAAAGTCTAACTTTTGGTTAAACATGACTTGCTTCTATTTTTGAATCAAGGAGTCCAAATATCCTGCCTTGGGAAATGTGGACGTTCTAGTAGGTTTATGAGAACCCACAAGTAGTTGTGTATTCAAGAGTTCAGTGTTTCTCTTGAAAGTCAGCCAGAAATGAATGTTCCCCTCTTGGATCAAGAACCTTGTGCTGAGAATGCTAGGCAAGAAGTATATAAATCCCAGGACATAAGCCAGTGTTAAGGTACAGTGGGTTAAGGTGCTGTTTGTAACTGTGAGGGTTCCTGTCTTGGAGCACGGTTCGAGTCCCTGCTACTCCGGTTTCAGCTGCCTGCCGATGTTTCAGGGAAGGCAGTGATGTCCAAGTAGCTTGTGGCATGAAGGGTTAAGCTACTGCCTGCAACACCAGCATTCACCAGCATCCCTTACAGTGCCAATTCAAGTCCCAGCTCTTCCACTTCCAGTCCAACTACCTGCCAATGCACCTGCAAAAGCACTGGAGGATGGGCCAGGTCCTTGTGTCCCTATATCCGCATGAGAGAGCTGGAAAAAGCTCCTGGCTTTGGCCTGGCACAGTCCAAGCTGTTGTGGCTACCTGGGGAGTGAGCCAGAAAATGGAAGATCTCCTCCTGAAACTCTCCCTTTCAAACAAGTGAAATAAATCTTGGTAAGATCTGGCCTCTTTCCATCATCTTTTTAAAAAATGTATTTATTCATTTTTATTGTAAAGTCAGATATACAGAGAGGAAGAGAGACAGAGAAGAATTAACTCCCCAAGTGAGCGCAATGGCTGAAGCTGAGCCGATCCGAAGTCAGGAACTAGGAGCTTCTTCCAGTTGCTCCGTGCGGGTGCAGGGTCCCAAGGCTTTGGGCCATCTTCTGCTGCGTTCCCAAGCCACAAGCAGGAAGCTGAATGGGAACTGGAACTGCTGGGATTAGAACAAGCACCCATATGGGATCCTGTTGCATTCAAGGCAAGGACTTCAGCCGCTAGACCACTCCGCGGGGCCCAGTGCATTTTGATTTTGTGTATGTATAACCACTGCCACCACTGTCATGATAGAATATTTCATTTTTCCCAGGAAGTTGCTCCCCTCCCCCAAATCCCTTTGTAGTCGGTCCCCTGTCTCAGGCAACCATAGAGGTCAAGGCTGTGCATCATCTGCTTTCTCTGCTATAGCAGCTCCCAGCTCCTCGGGGGACTCTGCCTGTGGCCACCCTGACCCAGACTGTGCCAGGCTGCTCCCAGCGGCCTGCGCTCAGCCCACCCTTCCAGAGAGAGCTGAGCTAAGTCGTCCTGCTGGTAGCCAGCCCCTCCCAGGAGTGCAGACACCAGTGGGCTTCATTGGTTGAATTTCTGGAGTTCCACCTGGTGCCGAGGCCACAAGTTCTTGTGCTGGTAACTGCCAAATGACTGCAGCAGCTAGAAGGGGCCACGTGCTCGGCCGCCAGCTGCTGGGCAAGGGGGCAGGTGACTGAACAGTCGCTACTTGTGTCTCATTTGGGCTTAGTGAGCTGGATGGGTTGAGCATCTGATTCCCTTAAATCTTGAAAATTGCCCCACGTATGCAGCTGCCAGCAACCCTCCAATTCCCATAATTACTTTTTTTTTTTTAAGATTTATTTTTATTATTTTCTATTGGAAAGGCGGATATACAGAGAGGAGAGACAGAGAGGAAGATCTTCCATCCGATGATTCACTCCCCAAGTGAGCGCAACGGGCCAATGCTATGCCGATCCGAAGCCAGGAGCCTCTTCCGGGTCTCCCACGTGGGTGCAGGGTCCCAAAGCTTTGGGCCGTCCTCGACTGCCTTCCCGGGCCACGGGCAGGGAGCTGGAAGGGAAGCGGGGCTGCCGGGATTAGAACCGGCGCCCATATGGGATCCCGGGCGTGCAAGGCGAGGACTTAACCACTTGCGCCACCACGCCGGGCCCCCCATAATTACTTTTTAAAAATTGAACATATATGATAGGAAGTACCTATGCTGTAACTGCACTAGCTACCTAGCTTGCTAGCTGATAGCATTTAAATTTTCTCAGCAGATCCACTGACCATTGCAAACCATGATGTTTCTCTTCAAGAGCTATCCGCTTGCATCTCCTAAGACTTTGTCCTGCAGTGGGCCCAACATGGTAGCCTAGCAGCTTTAAGTCCTTGCCTTGAATGTGCCAGGATCCCACATGGGTGCCGGTTCTAATCCCAGATGCCCCACTTCCCGTCCAGCTCCCCGCTTGTGGCCTGGGAAAGCAGTCGAGGACGGCCCAAAGCCTTGGGACCTGCACCCATGTGAGAAACCCGGAAGAAAACTCCTGGCTCCTGGCTCCTGATCGGCGCAGCACCGGCTGTTGCTGTCACTTGGGGAGTGAATCATCAGACAGAAAATCTTTCTGTCTCCTCCTTTCTGTATATGACTTTGCAATAAAAATAAATAAATCTTTGCAATAAACAAAAACACCTTTGTCTTGTATTGCTACTGAGCCATGCAGAGAGCCAAGAAAGTGAATCATAGCTTTGTAATGCATTCACTTCCCACAACATATTTGAAGTTCCCCAAGTGTGGTTGTTAACATTTTATTTTTCCCAGTGGCAGTCTGCGCATCATGTACAGTTGTCAGCCTTCTGTCTCCTCATCTCTTTCGTATTTCCTCCAGCACTGGCTGCTGAGAGAGACCAGGCCACCTGCTTGTGGCCGACCTACTCCGTGTCCGTCAGCTGTCATCAGGCCCTTTGCCTGACTTCTGTGTGCAGGCTGGTACCTGTGATTGTGACGTTAGCGGTCCAGCATCTCCGGTGGGAACTTACAAGGCCTTCCGGTGCTTCCTGCCGGATGCGGCCTGCTGTCAACTGGTTAGGACAAGTGGTGACCACCAGGTCAGTGGATCCTAGGCCACTAAGAGGCGCTGCACTTGTTCCCCAACAGATGTTTTTGCTTGTCTGGCTCATTCCCACCAGTGGACTGCAAATGGTGACTTTGGAATTCTGTTGTCATTGCTAATTAAAACAAACAAAAACCCCCACCATTTCTCAGCTGCTAAGGATGAGTAGCAGCCTGTGGAAAGGGGAGGAGGGTTGGCATGTCCGAGCCCCAGTCTGTTTTTGGCAGTGATAAGACCCCAGGGTAGGGAGATGGCAGGCTGGTGGGCTTTCTGCAGTCAAGGATCTTCTGTCATGAGACTTGAGACCCACCACAGAGGAGCCTGGACTTCTGTGGGAGGTCAGTGGGAGAGGGTACAGACAGTTGAGAGGCAGGCTTCCCTGGGCTGGGTTGAGAAGTGCGGGGAGCCTGGGTCCTCACTTACTGTTCCTGAACCTCTGTAAGGCCAGGGTGACTGTGACCCCTGGGACCCGGTAGTTTCGTGAGGGGGAAGTGCTGCACACCGCACCCCTCCTGCCGAGGTTAGAGCGAGGAGGAGGAACAGGTGAGTGGCTGTGAGGTTACGCTGCCTCTTTTCTCTGCAGGTGTGAATGACAGAAGTGGTGCCGTCCAGCGCCCTCAGCGAGGTCAGCCTGCGCCTCCTCTGCCACGATGACATAGACACCGTGAAGCACTTGTGTGGCGACTGGTTCCCCATTGAGTAAGTGGGCAGTGGCAGGCTCCCCAGCTGCATGCAGCTTGCAAGGGTCGGGGCAGACTGGGATCTTGTAGACGCTGGAGCTGGAAGAGGAGCTCACGGCCCTAAAGTGTGGCCACATGACCACACTTTAGAGGGAGGACAGGCCTGGAAGGGCCAGGTAGGCCAGAGCTGCCCTTAGCCACAGGCTCTGGCATGCCTCCCTCCCCGTGGGGCTCCCTGGACAGTAGAGTAAGCTGTAGTAGATCTGGGGCCATGAAGTGGGATGCTGGGTGCCGGCTGCAAGGCCAGCTGGACACTCTGGGTCAGAGCAGGCCAGGGAGAGAACCTCAGGTGACATATAGACCCCATATGGGATGCTTCTGTGGGTGTAAAGGCCTTGGCAGAGCTGAGCAGAGGAGCTCTCTGCTACATCCCCCACTCTAGCTCTTGATCATAAGAAAGGCATCCAGGCCAACCTGTTAGGTCTCTTCCAAGTTTGAGAGTCAAAACCCACATCTATAAACCTCTGCTTTCCTGCCCTTGACTCAATAGAGTGGGGTGGGGTGGGGGGCGGAGGCCAGATCTACTCTCCATTCTTGCCTGCCAGGGGTCTGGCTTCTTTCTGGTGGGCAACACTCACAAGCCCTGGCCGCACTTTATCTTTGATCCAGGGAGGGGCCCTTAACTCAAGTGCCCCTTGGCTATGACCTTTGCTCCTTTTCGCGTCATTCCTGTGGCCTCAGTGCCAAGAAGTTGCACATGGATTCCTTACAGGAGGCCTCCAACATGTCTGGGTCCTCACATGCGTTGGAAGTCACTGGCTAAGGAGTAGGCCTCCCAGGGCTGTCCCCTCACTGCCCTTAAGTCTCATGGGAGGTTTCACCCTTACAGCTCAAGTCTGATATAATCATTGTCCCACCAGAAATTCCCTGTCCTGTTTGACAGGTCACTTCTATAAGAACCGTGACCGTTGGGCTCCTCCAGCTAGTGACTCCTGTCTTCAGAAGCCTAAGAGCAGAGGGCACAAGTAGTTGGGGATCTGTGTGCATTCAGGTCCCCTGTCCCTCTCAGTCCCCTCTCCTGCCAGGTCCCCTGTCCCTCCAGGTCTCCTGCACCTCCAAATCCCCTCTCCTGTCAGGTCCTCTTCTTCCTCCAGGTGTCCTGTCTTTCCAGGTGCACTGTCCCTCCTGGTCTCCTCTCTCATCTGGCCCCCTACACCTCTAGGTCCCCTGTAACTTGGGGTTCCCAAGCACCGTGGTAGTGGGTATTGACCTTTGTGGGTTTACCTATCCATGTCTTCTTCCTCAGGTATCCAGACTCATGGTATCGTGATATTACGTCCAACAAGAAGTTCTTTTCCCTTGCTGCCACCTACAGAGGCGCCATCGTGGGAATGATAGTAGCTGAAATTAAAAGCAGGACCAAAATACACAAAGAGGTACATCTGTGCAGCAGTGATGTGGCTAATGCTGCTCAGTGTGGGCTCAGGGTCCAGGGACAGCCATGGGAAACTGGCCTTGCCTGGTATTGGGGCCCTAGGTCTCTGGTGCCTGTGACCCAGCAGTCTGGAGTCCTGGGGCTCATTTCCTGCTCATGTCTGTGCTAAATGTGTGGTCTGGTGACACACACACCCTTACCACCTGTCAGGGGGCAAGGTCCAGCCACAGGCCTCAGGACATCCGTTGTTCCATCAGGGGTGAGCGTGTGGGATTCATGGGAGTTCATGCAGTCTGACCGTGTTGGTGGTGATGTCCTAGTGACTGAAGGAATGTCAGCTTCAGTCAGAAGGTAGTGGAAATAGAGGTGTGATTTCTTTTTATGCAGTTTCCTGTCAGATCTGAGAGCCCTGCAGGTCTGTGGGTAGGCCCACCCTGTCACCGCCTGCAGCAAGCCCTGTTTAAGTGCAGGCTATGACTTTGGCTGGGGTTCTAAGCACCCCTCTGGGCCAGGTGATGTTGGCCACAGGGGCGTCTGCTCCAAGGAGGCCAACCCCCACCAGTGGCAGCATGTGGTTCTGTTTGCTTTGCTGTAGGTCCCAGTTCTACAACCCTCCATACCATTTTGCCATCTCTATGTCCTGGCACAGTTGATTTCGTTTAAGAGGAGCTTTTTCTGCCCCAGCTTCCTCCTTGGCTTTTCTGCCCGTTCTTCCATGGTAAGAGCAGAAAGCCAGTGGTTGTCCTCCTCATCCTGAGTGTCCACACACCCTCCCCCTAATCCACCTTCAGAGGGGGCCCTGCACCATGGCACTTGTTGGCTTGGGCCTCAGGCAGACCTGAGAGGCTAAGCTGAGTTCCCAGCATGGGGTGACTTAATGCAAGCCTGGGCTCTGAGTCACAAAGGCTATGAGGAAGGCTGCCCTCCTGAGAACCCCCACCCATGTCCGGGTTCATTGTGGCAAGCCACAAGTGCCCCGGGCAGACACAGGTAGTGGAAAGGCTGCATCCCAGCCTTGTTTTCTGGAGGTCAGCTATGTACATGCATACCCCTCCGAAGGACAAACAGCTGAACTCATAGGTGGAGGATTCACAACTCTTCCCCGAGAATTGTGTCTTGGAAAGCAGGAGACCTGTGTGGAGTGGCCTTCCATGGCATGTTGTAGCTGAGAGGGGTGGTTGGCTGCCCACACCCTCTCCTCTACAACCCCTGGGGCAGCCTCCAGACTCTGCGTGTATGTATCCACTCACACGTGTGGAGGCCATTAGATGCTCAGGTAGCACTGACATCTCCTGGCACCTGCAGGCACACGGTGTGCTTCCTATGCCTGGATGGCCTGCTGTCCTTTCCAGAGGAAGTTATGTGTGCTAAGCAGCTCCTCACAGGGGCACCCAAGCCTTGGAGGGGTGGGGGACACACCATAGCCTTTCGTTCTGCCCTCTCTGTTCCTGTGTCCCTGGGTACTGTGGCCAGGGAGGGAGCCCAAACATACATGGTGTGGCTGTGTGCTGCCAGGAGCCTGTAAGCTGGTACACTGACTTCTATCTCTAACTTTTGTTAGGATGGAGATATTCTAGCCTCCAGCTTCTCCGTGGACACCCAGGTTGCATACATCCTCAGTCTTGGCGTTGTCAAAGAGTTCAGAAAGCATGGCATTGGTAAGGGTGGCCCAACCTAGGCCAGTTCCTCACATCTCTCGGCTCCTTCCACTGAGCCCGGCCCCATCCAGGTTGGACTCAGCCATCTCTCCTCTCCTCCCGGCCATCTCTCCAACTCTCTGGCCTTCACCACAGCCTCCTTCCTAGCTTCCCCTTGGGGAAAGCATCCCTTCTCACCATTCCCACAGCCACACTCAGCCCATGTGCCCCTGGCTGAGATTAAACACAGAAGTGAAGACCCGTAATTCACCCCCTTAGTCCATGCTCCTTGTCATCAGGGTTGCTGTCCACACAGACAGAACAGCAGGCCTGCTTTTGATCCAGGATGGTCCGTGTTGTGCCTATCTAAGCTCAGGCCCACACTTGTGCTACTGAAGGCCAGAGAGCCTCTGGGTCCCCTTGCTACTTAAGCCCTACTGGTTGGGAGACCTTAGAAGAGCCCTGCAAAGGCCTTGCCCTTGCTTGCATCATGTCTCCTTTCTAACTGCCTATGTGCCTAATCTCTACCTGCTCTCCCCAAGGGTCTCTCTTACTTGAAAGTTTAAAGGATCACATTTCAACCACCGCCCAGGACCACTGTAAAGCCATTTATCTGCACGTCCTCACCACCAACAACACAGCCATCAGCTTCTACGAAAACAGAGACTTCAAGCAGCACCACTACCTGCCCTACTACTACTCCATCCGCGGGGTCCTCAAGGACGGCTTCACCTACGTCCTCTACATCAACGGTGGCCACCCTCCCTGGACAATCTTATATCCTTGACCTCCATGAGCTGTGTTGGGAGCAGAGCCAGTGAAGCTTGTGGATGCATTTTGTAGGGACGGGTAGACCGAGTATTCTGTTTCAAAAGAACATGGTGAAGGAAGGAGGTGAAGCCAGAACCCCACAGCCTCCTGGCTTGGGTGAAAATGGCCCCTTCAGTCATGGGGCATCGACTGGCTGTCTGTAATAGTGACAGGGTTATGTCACTGCTGCGGCTCCATGGATCAAGCCAGACCCTTGCCCCACTTGCCTCTGCACGCCTGGGACCTCATACAGGGGCCCTTTTGGCCCCAGGCCCTGCCCTTTGCGATTTTGCACCATAGAGGCCTGTCAGTCTCCGTGCACTGCAGAAGCTCAGCAGGTTCTTGTTCCTTGACCCCTCATGTGGCATGCTGTGGGCCCGTTTCCAGGTTTCTGGCAAGCCCTAAGGACAGCAGGGGTGGGCAGGGGTAAGCTTACATCTTCCTTGACAGAGTCCACAGACTACATCCAGCACCTGGGCTCAGCGCTGGCCAACCTGAGCCCCTGCTCCATCCCACACAGGATCTACCGCCAGGCCCACAGCCTGCTCTGCAGCTTCCTGCCATGGTCAGGCATCTCCAGCAAGGGTGGCATCGAGTACAGCCGTACCATGTGATGCCAGCTGGATAGCCTCCACCAGTTCCTACCCCTCAGTACCCTACGGAGCCCTCCTTCCTATCCTTCTGACCTCTGCTGTCTTCTGCAAGGAGCTGGTGACCACCTGCCAGGCCCGTTGGCCTGCTCCAGCTGCAGGCCCGGTGCTACGTGGGCTCAGAGCAGAGAGTGTGCCCGGTCTCCTCACAGGTAGGTCACAGCAGGCAGCAGGGCACAAAAGCCAGGGAACAGAATGCCCAGCTCAGAAACTGCAGGAAGAAAAGGTGACGGGAGACCTCCTGACCCCAAGTGGAGCTTCTCACTTCTAGGAAGTCTCCCTGATTTGCTGTTTGTTTTTTTTTAAGGGCAGTGGATGGCAGGGTTAAAAGTTGATTTATTTATTTGAGTTAGAGAGCGAGCACCCGTCCATTGGTTCATTTCCCAAGTGGAATGGCCCAGCTGGGCCATTCCAAAACCAGAAGCCAGGAGCTTCCTCTAGGTCTCACATGGGTGCAGGGCCCAGGCACCTAGACCATCCTGCAGTGCTTTTCCCAGGCACATCAGCAGGCTGGATTGGAAGTGGAGGAATTGGGCCTCGCAGTATCCACATAGGATGTCAATGCTGCAGGTGGCAGCTCATCCTCCAGGGCCCCAGTGCCAGCTCCAAGGCTTTATGGTTTTAAATAGTATAGTAACATGATTCAACAACTTAAAAGGTGGGAAAAAAACACAAGTCCCCTTGCTGCCTCACCCTCTGGTTGCTCATCTGGTTCCCGCTGCATCCCAGATGTGTTCCTAAGAAATCTGCAGAAACTTCTCTATGCCAGTATCACCGCCCCTCGCTAAACCAGAGCCCTGGTGGGCACCTACAGATGGGGGTTCCCAGGCCTTAGAGAATGCTGTGGCTGGGTGGGGCATAGAGTCAGGCCTCCCTCATGTACCCATGTGGCCCAGTAAGGTCTGATGACTTGGCACAATAGGCCATGTGGCTGCCTGAATTGTGTACCTGTGAATGGAATCATCTGGGATTTGATTTGTACCAGGGGCAAGAAGAGCTGGGTGGCCACTGGCAACTGGCCTTGGTGATAGGCTCCTGCCCTTAGGGTGCCAAGACCCCATGGCAGGTGTGGGCCAGACAGTGGGGTAGGGCAAAGGCCATGTGGTACCTTCACACCTACTTCTCTCTGCCCCACAGGTTCTCCAGCTCTCCTCTGGCTTCTGGAAACCTCTGCCTCTGCCCAATGCCCTGGTCATGCCTTCACACACATGCACCCATCAGGCAGCTGGCCGGAGCAGCTGCGCTCACTGGGCACACTTCTTGTCCCAGGCCTCTCCTTGGCCACCTGTTCCCCAGCCCCTTCCTGCAAAGCTGAGGGGAACCTGGTGCTGTGAGGGAGCAGCCTGAGTGTTGAGCCCCAGAACAAAGCAGAGACCCTGCCTCAGGATGCCCGGCAGGAGTGGGGAAGGCTCTTCCCACGAACATAGAGCTCTGAGCCCAGATGCACAGATGATATTGTGATTCCTGCTGTAGCCAAGACACCACTCAGCCTGCTGGATTGGGGACTGCTCCATGCACCTGACAGCCCTCTGGGAGCTGGGCTGAAGACACGTCTGCTTCCCCCTTCTTCATCCCTCCATGAGCCACAGCCCCAAGACCTGCCCAGTGCAGACAGGAGACTGAGCTCGATGGTGGATGGCTGAAGACAGGGGCGTCATGTGCCTGGGCCAGCTCTGAATTGTGCCTGCAGTGTGAGTCCATCACACAATCTAGCATCCTCCCCACCCTGCACCATACCCCCGTTTCCCCCAAGAGCCATTGCTGTCTGCCTTGCCCTGCAGCAGCTGGGACCCCCGGGATCCCAGGGAGCCAGGGTATCACAAGGTCTGGGACAGAGGGAACCAGTCTTAGCAGATGGCGCCTGGGCAGCCCAAATGCTGCCCTCAGAATGTGCCAGGCTCACATGGGGAAGGGGCCCTGGTGTGATGCAGCATCCTGTTAACTGGTGCAGCCTCGGCTGCTGTGCTGTGCACTGAAGTCATGGTGTCCTCTCTACTCAGAATCAATGATGATCATGTGATTTTTATTTCTGCCCCATCGGGTAAGGGAAGTGTCTTCCAGAAGGTTCTGCCTTGGACTTTTCAGAATCCAGCTCAGAGGCCTTGCCCACCCTCCCCGCCTGCCCCATTAATCACTGCACTGTCCAGCTCTGTGCTGAGCGGATTGTAGTGTTTCATTACCAACGAATAAATAGACGGCAGTTGGGTGCAGCCTGTGTGCAGGATTTGCTCCTGGAGCTGGGGCCGGGACCACTTGCCGTGGCCGTGTGCTAGGACGACTTCCAGCTGAGTTACCGGTTGTACACCACTGGCTGGGTTATTCTGACAGCAGCTGTGCCAGTGGCTCAATTTCCCAGAGCTCAGCCTTGGGCTGGGGTGTGGTCGAGGGGCGGGACGACTGTCCTGGACTCAGGAAGCCTCCCAAGGGGATCCAGCACAGGTGCCAGCCTGATGGGCCAGGTGCATGGTACACACGCACATGCACACACATGCTCCTTCCCCCTCTCTGCAAGGGTTTCCTGCCCAACACACACACACACACACACACACACACACTCTGTAAGGGTCTCCTGGTGTCTAGGATATAGACTCTCCAAGGGCTGCTGTTTGAGAGTAGAGATCTGAGGGAGCAACTGTGGGCATGGGGTTGGGGTCAGCATGTGACTGAAGTGAATATCCCTCCTACAAGCTGTCCCCAGGCCTAGTGGCCTAAGCAGCTGTGTGGCTCCCAGTTGGGACATTTGTTCGTGAGGACGCTCATTGCCCTGTAAGGTGCTGGCTGGGTAGACAGACCACAGTGGAGTGGGAACTGGAGAATCTACTTAGGGTTGCTGCAGCTGCAGCCAGCTGGGCCATAGTGCTACCGCATTGCCTGCCAGTGGCAACCTGGGTTAATTCTCATTGGTCAGCCATTCCTAGATGACTCTGCACATGGCCACTGGCCTCCTGCTCAGCCTGCAAGTACCCAAGCCTTGTTGTCATTGTGAGGTATTGTCAAGCAAGATCCAGTGGCACACCCCTCAAGCGGAAGGAACTGACAAGGGCTAGAATGTGGGTCTGTGTGGCTCACTGGGTCACCCAACTAGGCACTGCGCACCAGGCCATCTGAGCTGCTCATCAAGCCTCAGGTCTCCACCAAGAGGTAAAGGGTTCAGATCACTGAAGGTCACCAGGGCCCTTGTACTGTTGGCTCGTGGGAGTCTCACTTGGGCCCACCCCACTTGGCAGCAGACCCAACCAGCCCTCAACAGGTGAATGGTGTCCTGATACCTCTGGCAGGCCACCCAATGTGTCTCTTGAGTAGCGGCTGGTCAAGTCTGCCTGGCTGTCATGTCCCTGGGGAATGGATGTGAGGGAGAGGGCAAAGGCAGGCATCTTCTGTCACCCCAGCTGGAGTGTCCCCCATCCAGCCACATCTGTAGACTCTGAGCAGTCTATAACGCCCTAGGGCTGAAGCCTGCAGCATCTGTCATCCAGGGACCTAGGAAATGCCCAGCAGGGAAACCAGGGTTCACGGGAAGCAGACCGCTGTCTTCGGTGCCATCACCCAAAGCAGGGACAGGGCTCAGCTCTCGTGGCCCCAGGCTGCCCAGGCCAGGGTCACAAAGGCACCCCTGGGTGTTTCCATCCTCTCCCACAGAGCAGGAGTTCTCACAGGGGGTGAACCACCAGGGGTCTTGGGATCGTGTCTAGAGGCAGGTTATCACCTGTGGGAGGAATGCCTTGCTGACATCCAGAAAACGATGAATGATCGGTCCCAGATGTAGGCCTACCCTGGCACAGAAGATGACCACACCTGGGTGCCCAGATGACGGATGCCTATAGGGGAGAGATGAGTCTGTCCTGCCAAGGAGGGACAGCTTGTGGGAGCCCACGGAGCAATGTACCTTGGTTTGAATTGCTCCCTGCATTTTGTCTAGTGAGAGCTTCCCTGCCCTGTAGAGCCAGGTATGGTCTCCAGGTCCTGTACGCTCCTCCAGGGTACTCCAGCTGCCATAGCGTCTGGCTTTTGGCTGTGTCTAAAGGCAACCACGGACCTGTTCCTGCTGCAGCAGTGGTGTGTTCCAGCTGAAGGGGCTCTGTGACTGGGAGGTGTAGGCCTTGCTTTTATTGATACGAGATCTGAGGGCCTCCCACCTCTCAGGAGCTCAGTGCTCCAATCGGCCTGGCCTGCCAAGCAGGCTGCAAGGGCATGGCCATGCTTGCACTTCTCTTGTTCCTCCCATAGGACATCTTCCGTCCCTCACTCCCCGCCCTGTTCCCCGGCATTTCCCCAGGACTGACCCAGGTCTGATACCAGACACCTGGCAGGGTGGCTCAGTCAGTGGGGAGGGCTGCCGCAGGGGCTACTAAGCCTCCCACCTTTGGACCTGCCTCTTTAGCACTGCCACCACTGCCATCCTGCCCCCTGCTATTGACAGCCTGGCACTTGGAGGTCCCTATTGTCTCTCTAGAGCCCCAGAGCGAGTTCTCTTGCACAAGGGACAAATAGTCTCTTCCAATGCCCCCCACGACCTCTTGGGCCTGAGCCCTAAGCCCTCAGGGGCCCCAGGTTGGGAAGGTGTGCCCTTGGCCTGGTCCATGCTGGAGCTGGAAGCTGAGGAAGGAGGAAAGAGAGGAATCAAAACTTGGGGAGAAACCAATAGCCTCACTCTAGGATCCCTGGAACCCAACAACCTTCAAAAGGCAAGCAGAGAGGACACAGTTCCACCCTGGGGAGGACGGGGGAAGAGGAAGTGGACAGTTCAAGCTGGAAGGACCCTCTGCTCCCCAACTGCCAACTGGAACAGACACTGAGACCTAGCAGGAAGGCAGTTGCCCAGGGCCCCTCATCAAATGCAGCCCTGGGACAGGGCCCTGCAACTCAGTCCTGACACCTCCCCTTGGCCTCACCCTGGCCACTGACAAGATCACCCCACCCAGGCTATTCACCCAGACCTCACAGACCATGAGGTTTTCTGACCTGCCAGTAGCCGACACAGGATTGGCACCAGATATGTGATGTCCCCATAGGAGTATCCTAGCCACTGTGTCCCTGGTCACTGCTAGGTCTCTCCCCGCTCCCCCAGATGACTTGGAAATGAAGTTGGTCCCAAAGTCCCCAACCCAGCCCTCTATCCCTAGGCCTGCCTCAAGAGTGCTCACCTGTGTTTCCCAGGCTGTCCCCATGTACTTGGGTTTCCAGAAGGGCTGAGCAGTAGCTGTTACTTGGGCCCAGAGACCCCCGTGGCAGAATCAGGGGCCAGGCAGAACCTTTAGGCTGTGGCAGGCAGCTGTCCGTCATGAGCTGGCCCAGCCAATGGCTTTTACACTGGCCAGCAGGCTGCATGTGGCCAGGCAGGTAGAAAGCCAGGCCTCGGAGGTGGCGCAGCCGGAAGTTCTTGGGCTTGCTGCCCTGGGCAACAGGGCACTGCTGCTCCTGGCTTCCCAGCCCTCCTTCATAGATGTTGGGAAGTGTGTCAGGGTAGCTGAGGTGTCCTTGAGCCCGGCCTGCTGCATCTGTGGAGGAGGGGTAAGTATCACCAGGTTGAGGCTGGCCTGGCTTGGTAGCCATGAGAGCAGAACTTAGCAGAGTGCCTATAAGATGAGCTCAGATGTCATCTCTAACCCTGGCCTGCAGAGCCTCAACTTCACGGTCTGACAAATGGGCCCAGAGCCACCAGCACCCAGCATGTTACTCTTTTCTGGGGCCTTTTGAGATTTTTTTTTTTGTGCCTCCTACTATAGCAAGAATATTCTGGTCCCATGAAGGGAACAGTACAGTAAATCCATAATTAAGTGGCTAGCTCAGAGTGACGGTGCCAGGCCTCCCTGTCCCCAGGCCACCCCAGGGGCAGCAGCATGGCTATGTCTTATTGCTCCTCCCCACAGCTCAGCACCTTCTCTGATGCGCAGCTCAGAGAACGCACAGACCAAGGCTTCCATGGAGGGCCAGTGTGGTGGGGGGAGGCACTGTCAGGCCGTGTGTGTCACACAGCCCTGCTGTCTCCTTGCCCAGCGGGTGGGTCTGCAGGTCTCCCGTGGTGACCCATGGCCCTTATGATGTCACAGGAAAGACTCAGACTTTCTGAGCCCACTGGTTTGGGGGCCTGGAGAGCCACACTTAGAAAAGTGACATTTTGGGCCTCAGCTATGGCAGGGAGTGATGGTTTGAGGTGTACAGATCTGCCAGGACTGCCCCAGGGCTTTGGACCTGCTAAGGAGGTTCTGAGTGGGTGAGCCCCTGGCCTCACTATCCACTTTCCTATTAGTGAGTTATCCAGTAATGTGTTGGCCACATGAACTGTGAGGATGGGGAGGAACTCCCATCTTCCCCTGCTGGGCTGTACACTGGCACATCCAGTTGGAGAACAGCCTGGTCGTTTTTACAAAAATAAAGACATTGAATTTTACATACACACACACACACATATATATATATTACATATGTTTACATGTTTCTTGAAAAATGAAAACAAGAAAATACACGATTCCAGAACTAATACAAAACTCTTGTAATCAAAACACTATTGCTCTGGTGTAGAATATGATCAGTCAGCCACAACTAATGTAAGATGCTGAACTGGAGAGGCAGATACAGTATAGAGAACTATAATCCTTCAAAAAGTGTTCAAAACCTTAAGCAGAATTTATGGAACAGATCAATGGCTTAATTGGCCAATCCTCCCCTTACCATTGCTGGGGTCCCATATAGTTCATGTCCTGGCTGCTCCACTTCCAACCCAGCTCCCTGCTTGTGGCCTGTGACAGCAGGGGAGGACGGCCCAAAGCCTTGGGACCCTGCACCCGCGTGGGAGACCTGGAAGAGGCTCCTGGCTTCAGATCAGCAGAGCTCCTCCGGCTGCTGAGGCCATTTGGGGAGTGAACCAGTGAGTAGAAGATCTTTGTCTCCCCTCTTTTCTCTAAGACTGTTTTGTCAATAAAAATAAGTAAAAAAATATATTTTTAAAAGAAAAAATGGAGCCCAGGACGATAGCCTAGTGGGATGTACTTGCATGCGGCAAGGCAAGGCGGAGGGGCTGGGAAGTCACTGGACAATCTTGTTCCTTTGAGCTTTTTCGCCATATTATTTTATAAGACATGTGTTTTGTGGCTAATATCTATACGTTGGCTTACCTCTTTTGTTTTCTTAATAGTGCTGTTAAATAAAAATGATGGGAGCCATGTTAGCAGATCAAACAGAATACAGTCCTTCATGCTAGCTGCTGCACTACTAAAATGAACTTAGAAATGGGTAAGCTTGCCAAAGAAAAAGAAATTAGATACATAAATTAGGGGATTCATAACAACCAATCAAAATAGGCCCACCCAGTCTGAGCCTGAACAAAGAATACTTTGTGCTTTAACCTATAAAAAACTGGGAATAGTTCAATATTAACCCAATTTTCCACTATTTTTCCCAGTTTCTGCTCAAGCTATCTTATAGAAGCCAACTGTTCTGCCAAGTCCCTTGCAGTACTTTTCTATTTCATAGGTGGCATGATACTTCAATCACAAACTCTGTTAAATGCCAATTCCATCATTAACCTTGATGCGCTGAAAAAAAAAAAAAAAACTTAAAGATATATGTATTTGGGCCAAGTGTGGTAGCCTAATGGCTAAAGTGCTCAACTTGCATGCACTGGGATCTCATACAGGTGTCGGCTCGTATCCCGGCTGCTCCATTTCCCTTCCAACTCCCCGCTTGTGGCCTGAGAACCAAGGATGACCCAAAGCCTTGGGACCCTGCACCCCTGTGGGAGACCCAGAAGCTCCTGGCTTCTGGCTTCGGACTGACTCAGTTCTGGCCATTGTAGCTACTTGGAGAGTGAACCAGTAGATGAAAGATCTTTTTCTGACTCTCCTAATCTCTGCAAATCTGACTTTCCAATTAAAAATAAGTAAAAGATTTAAGTATTTATTTGAACAGCAGACTGACAGAAGGAAAGGGGGCAGATCTTATGCTAGCTGGTTCACTTCTCAAATGGCTGCTACGGTCATGGCTGGATTAGGCAAAAGCTAGTGCCAGGAACTCCATCCTGGTCTCTCACTTGGCTGCAGGGGCCCCAGCAGTTGACCCACCATCACCCATTGTTTTTCCAGGCACATTCAGAGGAAGCTGGATCAGAAGTGGAGCAGCCAGGACACCACTGGGCTCCTCAGCATGAATGGCAGCCTCCCCATGATGCCTCTTGAAATTTTGCTTTTAATAATTCTCTTTGAAGAGCACACTTTTTTTTTTTTGCATTTTTAAATTTTTTTTTATTGGAAAGGCAGATATACAGAAAGAAGGTGATACAGAAAGATCTCCCATCCTCTGGTTCTCCTCAAATGACAGCCAGAGCTGGACCTGTTTGAATCCAGAGCTGCCTCTGGGTGTGCGCAGTATCTCGAGGCCTTGGGCCGTCCCCCACTGCTTTCCCAGGCCACAGGCAGGGCGCTGGGTGAGAACAGGCACCCATTCAGGATGCCAGCGCCTTAACGTTCAACAAAGCGCTTTCCTCACGCAAGTTTTCCATAGAGAAGTCCAACTGAGCCCTGAAAGATGTTTTAAAAAGGGGTAATGGTTTTGATATGTGATGTTCCCCTAAAACAAAGCTTTCCCCGAACAATTCCTTGTTGTAGAAAATGTACAGTTTGGGGCTTCAGGTTTGTAACCCTTTACGAACAGGTTCGCGTGTTCACAGGCGGACTCACAACTCTTCATAGAAAATGCGATTCCTTCGCCCCTGAGACACTTCACTCACCTCAAAGCCCGCCCAGGGATGTCGACCCCTTCCCCTTCACCGATCCAGGAGAGTTCCCCCGCGCTCCCACCCGCCATCGGCGAAGGTCCCAGGCCTGGTGTCACCGCTAACCACCGGGCTGACCGCCCCACGTGCCACACGGCGCGCCTCCGCCCGCAAGAGGTCACGGTTTGCGCGCACTGCTCCCAGCCCACTTCCGGATTGCCCTGAAGGCTGAGCCGGCTGCGCGTGCGCGCTACGGGCCGCCCGCCTCACGCCCGTAGCCTGTCTGGTCTCCTCGAGGCGGCAGCGGAAGTGGGCGGCAGGGCCAACCGTGTCTCACAAGCGGAAGCCCCGGCTTCGAGAGCCCTGGTGCAGCGCGTACAGAAATGCGGACGTGAGAGGGCGCGTGCGAACCACGGACGGGCTCGAGCCCGTCAGCCGCTGCCTTGGGCCCCCTGCAGGCCCTGCCGCGCGCCCCGGGCCGCGTTTCGGTCCCGGTGGTGTTTGGCCCCGACCGCGCGCCGTCCGCGGCTCCTCGGTTGTCATAGAGACTGGGTTGCGGCCCGACTTGAGGACGCTGAGGAGACCGGCGGTGACCTGGACCGGGGTTGGCGGCGACGGAAGCAGGATGTCTTTCCGCGAGCTCCGCAGTAAGACGACTCCTTGCCCCGTGGCCCGCGCGGCTCCCTGACGTTCGGGCTCCGGAGCTGAGGGCGCGGCGCTTCCCCTTCCCGCCGAGGCCGCTGCCCAGGCCCTGTGTGACGCGGGGTGCTTCCAAAAGGCCGAAGAAAATCAAGTTAAAAGATGCGTTTCTTGGGGTGTCAAAATGTTTGAAATTCCTGCAGTTTTTTCATAATACACATTTTCCACGCAGTTTTTAAAGAGCTCCTCTCCCCCCATCTCTCGGCGGTTTGTTCGGTGATCACAAGGTCTCTGCCCCTGGAGCACTTGACGCGAGCTAGTGGGCTTAGCTTGGTTGTTGTGTATCCGGCTACATTACCGTTCTGGAACATTCGTACAAAACGCCGAACCACGGGGTGAGGGTGTGAGGGACGCGAGGGACACGCAGGTAGTAGAGGAGGCTGTTTGCTTGGGGTTGCCGCGTCCATGCTGCCGCAGGCCCGCACTTGTGCCTTTCTGTCTGAAGTCTGCAGGTGCATCCTGGAGCTCACGGGCGCTGCTGCTGTCCCTTTGCTCCAGGCACGACAGGTTTTCCCTAGGTGACTGCAGTGGACAGGGGGCCTGCGTCACGTTTTGTCGTAAATCCAAGTACTGCTCTGTAGCTGCCATACATCTTAATCTTTTTCCAAAGACAAGGGAACGAATGTTTTAACATGTATTAAGGTTTTATATGCTTAAAAAAAGAGCTTAGAAGCATAAACTTTAATTCCCCTCCCTAAATGCCTGTTCTTTCTCCATATATGTATGTATTACTTTTTAAAGGGCTATTTATTTCCATTGGAAAGGCAGCTTGGACTTCCAGAGAGGAGAAACAGAGGTCTCCCCTCTGCTGGTTCGCTGCCCAAGTAGCCGCAATGGCTGGAGCTGAGCTGATCTGTAGCCAGGAGCCAGCAGTTGCTTCTGGGTCTCCCATGCAGGTGCAGGGTCCCAAGGCTTTGGGCCGTCCTCGACTGCTTTGCCAGGCCTCATGCAGGGAGTTGGATAGGAAGCGGTGCCCATATGGAATCCTACACGTGCAAAGTGAGCTTTTAGCCATTGGGCCATCATGCTGGACCCCCAAAGGCCTACTATTAATATTTTAAAGTAACTTATAAGGCCTGGCATTTTAGTTTGAATAGTAGGAGAAAAATATTGGAGAGAAAGTCCCAGCTAATTCCTAAGCCTCATTTTTATGTCATTACTTCTCTCACTGAACTTGAAAATGTTTCTTAGGTGGAATCCTGGTAATTTTAAATGTTTCCTGGGGCCAGCGCGATGGCTCAACAGGTTAATCTGCATGTGCCAGCATCCCTTATGGGCGCCGGTTTGTGTCCTAGCTGTTCCGCTTCCCGTCCAGTGCTGCTATGGCCTGGGAAAACAGTGGAGGACAGCTCTGCTTCAGACTAGCCCAGCTCTGGCCATTGCGGGTATTTGGAGAATGAACCAGTGAGTGAAAGACCTCTCTGTTTCTTCTTTCTCTGTAAAAATCTGCCTCTGCCTTTCAGGGCCTGGCAGAATAGCCAGGTGGCTAGAGTCCTTGCCTTACATGCACAGGGCTTTCATGTGGACGCTAGTTTGTATCCTGGCTGCTCCACTTCCCTTTCAGCTCCCTGCTTGTGGCCCAAGAGGACAATTGAGGACAGCCCATGGTCTTGGGACCCTGTACCCACGCGGGAAACGCAGAAGATGCTTCTGGCTCCTGGCTTTAGTTGGACTCAGCTCTGGCGGTTGCAGCCACTTGGGGAGGGGATCAGTGGACAGAAAATCTCTTTCTGTCTCTCCTCTTTGTAGTCTGGTTTTCCAAGAAAAAAATAGATAAATCTTTTTTTTAAAACCTGCCTCTCAAATAAAAATCAATAAATCTTAAAAAAACACCCCTCCATTTTCTTGCAGAGTTGATAAAAATTATCCTAAAGCTCTCAGGAGACTGCAGGAAGAGGGGACGCAGAGTACATGTACTTGCCATTTGTTAAGAAACTGGCTGGGAGGGGTGGGGGGAATCCCCAGTGCCTATAAAACTGTATCACATAATACAATGTTAATAACAATAAAAAAAAAGAAACTGGCTGAATCATCTTTTCTTTGGACAGATTTTACAGAGATGATGAGAGCGTTGGGTTACCCACGACATATTTCCATGGAAAATTTCCGCACCCCCAATTTTGGACTCGTATCCGAGGTGCTGCTGTGGCTTGTGAAAAGGTTTGGACTACATTTTGTTGCTTTTTAAGAGGGACTGTTATATTTCATTTATTGGTCACCTAGAAACAGGATGCTGTGGTGCAAAAGAGGAAGTGTTGTTAAGTGTGTGCGATTGACAGACTTGATTGTAGCTTGAAAGTCATGTTAGGGCAAGCACTTAGCCTAGCTGTGAGCATGCCTGTGTCACACAGGCACGGTTCTGAAGTTTCACTGCTGACCTGGCTCCCGCCTGTGGCCTTGTGCCAGTGCCACCTGGGAACCCACAGAGAAGGCTCAAGGAAACGGGTGCCTGCCCCCCACATGAGAGTTCTGGATGAACTTCCCGACTCTACCACTGTAGAGAGCAAACCAGCACTGGGAGAGCACTCCTCTCTTTCTCTGAGTTGGTTTCTTGCTCTCTCTCTCTGTGCCTCTATAAATAAATGCACATTTTTTTTAAAGATTTTTTTTTTAAATGGAAAGTCAGATTTACAGAGAGAGAATAGACAGAAAGATCTTTCATCCACTGATTCACTCCCTAAGTACCTGCAGCAGCCAGAGCTGAGCCCATCTGAGGCCAGGAGCCAGGAGCTTTTTCCAGGTCTCCTGCATGGGTGCAGGATCCCAAGGTTTTGGGCTGTGCTCGACTGCTTTCCCAGGCCACAGGCAGGGAGCTGGATGGAAAGTGAAACAGCCAGGATACGAACCGGCACCCATATGGGATCCCAGCTCATGCAAGGCAAGAACTTTATCCACTAGGCTCTCATGGTAGGCCCAAATAAACACACATTTTAAAAAACTCAACTAAATTAGAAGTAATCGTTGGAGGGTTGGTGTCGTGGCATTGCACACTGAGTCTCTGACTGCAGTGCCAGCATCCCATTGGTGTGTTGGTTCAAGTCCTGGCTTTTGAGCTTCTGAGCCAGCTCTCTGTGGCCTGGGAAAGCAGTGGAGGATGGTCCAAGTCCTTGGGCCCCTGCATGCATGTGGGAAACCTGGAAAAGAGCTCCTGGCTTTGGATCTGCTCAGCTCCAGATGTTGTGGCCATTTGGAGAATGAACCAACAGAAAATTTCTATTTTTTCTTCTGTCTTTGTAACTTTGCCTTTCAAATGAAAATGAAATATATCTAAAAAGGTTTTAAAAGAGGCACACTGCAGTTTAGCTAAACTGCCACTTGAGATGGCCATGTTCCATCTTGCAGTGTCTGGTTCAGGTTCCATTTCCACTTTGAATTCCAGCTCGCTGCCCTTGCTGCCTGGGTGGCCACAGATGGTGGTTCAGCTCCTTCATCCTTGCTCCCTGTGTGGGAGATCCAGATTAGGTCCTGGTCTTCTGGCTGCAACTTAGTCCAGCCCCATCTGTTGGGGGTATTTGTAAGCTGAGCCCCACATTTGATTTTTGAAATTCCTTAGACCTTAGATTCTGAAGTAGGGATTTGGCTTGTTGTGTTGCTCTCGCTGTGTTTTGAGTCTTGCCGCAGCTGGGATGTGGAGAGCCTCACGTGGCAGTTCTGCCGCCCTCTCAGTTGCCTGCTTTTTGTTGAATGCTGTGTTTGTTTTCTCTGACAGGTATGAGCCGCAGACTGACATCCCTTCTGACGTAGAGACCGAACAAGATCGAGTTTTCTTCATCAAGGCAATTGCCCAGTTCATGGTTAGTTGACAGGTGTTGTTTGTTTTGTTTTGTTGCAAAGATTTATTTGAAAGGCAAAATAATAGAGAGATCTTCCATCCTTTGATTAACTTCCCAGGTGGCTGTAGTGGCTGGGGCTGGGCCCGGCGGAAGTCAGGAGCCCAGAGCTCTATCCAGGCCTCCCATGGGTTTAATAGAAACCTAAGTACTGGGGCTATTATCTGCTGCTTTCTCAGTAGGAATTGGATTGGAAGCAGAGCAGCCAGGACTTGAACCAGCGCTCCAGTATGGGATGCCTATGTTGCAAGCAATGATTTAACCTGCTATCCACACACTGGCCACAGTTGGCATTTATTTATTTGGTAGAGTTATAAACTTGACTAGGTTAGGGGTGCATTCTGGTTAGTGTTGCTTTCAAATTGAGTTCAGTTCTAAAACCATTTTTTTTTGCCAGGTTTTTATGGAACCTTCTCACCAGTCAGAGTTAAGGCATTTTCTCCTTGCTTTTTTATTTATTTCCATTTTTGTTTGAAAGGCATGGAGACAGAGTAGTCCTCTTACTCCTGGTTTACTCTCCAGATGCCCGTGGCAGCCAGTGCCAGGCCACATGAAGCCAGGGGCTCACCACTCATTCCAAGTCTCCTGGCATCGTAAACAAGGACCCAAGAACATGAGCCATTGCTGATGCCCTCTAAGATGTGCATTAGCAGGAAGGGAGACTAGCAGGTGGAGCCGGTACTTGAACCCAGGCACTCTGACAAGATTACAGGCTTCCCAAGGGGCGTAGTGACCACCACACCACATGCTGCTCTTTACTTCAGCCTTTGCTGATTTTGAATTAGGTAATATGTTTCATGATCCAAATTTTTTAAAAATCACGAAATAATGACTCAGTTGGCTTTCTGTACTGTCTTTCTTTAGCCCAGTTGCCTTCCCAGTAGTCACTGCAAAAGTTTCATTATCGAGATGTAGTTCTTAATACACATTTTCCATGAACTCTTTGAATGTTCCCTCAATTGCATGGACCTCAACATTTTTTGCACCTTTTTAGTGCTATTTTCTGCATGATACATGTAAACTTCATGGTACATGTAAGCAAATTAAACTTGTGTTTTTCTTTATTTTACACATATGGTAGCATACTATATGCTACGGGCTAGCATCTTAACTTTTTTCAACTAGTAGTTTATTTTTGGAGAATGTGCCAAATACATACAGAATTCCCTTATTTTCACTTAGTACCTGAGTCGTGTTGGCTTGCATGGATGTCATAATGTATGTAATTTATGTAGGTAGGTTTTTAAAAATTTTTTAAAGAATTATTTTATTTTTATTGGAAAGTCAGATATACAAAGAGGAAGAGAGATAGAGAGGAAGATTTTGGGCTTGGCACGGTAGCCTGGTGGTTATAGTCCTCACCTTGTACACACCAAGATTCCTTATGTGCACAGGTTCTAATCCCAGCAGCCCTCTTCCCATCCAGCTTCCTGCTTGTGGCCTGGGAAGGCAGTTGAGGACGGCCTTGGGACCCTGCACCTGCGTGGGAGACCACGAGGAGACTCCCAGCTCCTGGCTTCAGATCGTCGCAGCTCCGGCTGTCACAGCTGCTTGGGGAGTGAATCATCAGATGGAAGATCTTTTCTCTACCTCTCCTTTCAGTATATCTGCCTTTCCAATAAAAATAAGTAAATATTTTAAAAAGACAAGAGAGGAAGATCTTTCGTTCATTGATTCACTCTCCAATTGACCACAATAACCAGAGCTGCATTGAACGGAAGCCAGGAGCCTGGAGCCTCTTCTGGGTCTCCCATGCAGCTGCAGGGTCCCAAGGCTTCGGGCCATCCTCTACTGCTTTCCCAGCCAGATGGGAAGCAGGTTGGCTGGGATTAGAACCAGCACCAATATGGGATCCCAGCATGTGCAAGGTGTGGACGTTAGCTACTAAGCTACCACGCTGGGCGCGTAGATAGGTATTTAAGTTGTATGCACCTTTTGCTCTTCGAAGCAGAGCTGTAACTTGTAATCTGACATAATCTGTCATGTGTGAGTGTAGCCAGAGTCAATTCATGGGATTAGAATTGCTGGGTGAAAGTTACGTGCACTTATAATGTTGGTATCTTTTACCAAATTTCTGTCTATCCTGGTTACAGCAGTTTGCACGCCTGTTCACAGATCTCTTGAATACTTCCTTTTTTTTCTATTCTGTTATAACCCAGTATTGGCAGAGACAGTCTCAAATCGCCAATGTAGGATTTTGTTTGTACATTATGTGGAAAGGACCTTCAACTTTTGCATTTTTGTGTAAAAATAGGCCACAAAGGCACATATAAAGCTCAACACAAAGAAGCTGTACCAGGCGGATGGCTATGCGGTAAAGGAGCTGCTGAAGATCACATCTGTCCTGTATAATGCCATGAAGACCAAAGGGATGGAGGGCTCTAAGATGGGAGAGGAAGACATCAGCAAGTTCAAGTTTGACCTGGGCTCCAAGGTAAGGGCCATGCAGGTTTGCGGAGAGGGCCGGGAATATGCTCTTCCGGCTAGCCGTGGCATCCGTGTCGGCCTCGGAGCACCCTGTCTCCGTGTCTGAAGGGCGTCTTGCCAGCTGTGCTCTTCAGTGCTGGCAGTCACAGGCAGTGAGTGCAAATGTGGAAAGCCCAGTGCTTCACATCAAGGTGAACCAGGAGTGACCCTACATCTATGTTGCAGGGTTGGGGACCATCAATTGGAGAGCAGTGCTGAGGTATGGAAGGCCCCACGTCATTCATGCCATGGTCAGAGTAAGGCAGGGGACAGCAACCAGGAGTGCTTGGGGACCTCAGAGATCTGAGGCGGAGGAGCGGCAGAGCGTGCAGGCAGGTGGGCTCTGAGAGTGCACTTTGTGCGTTGGAGGAAGAGCGGGGAAGCTGGGTGATGAGGGCGGGAGGCAAGGCTGTGACAGGCCCTCTGGCACCTGGGGCGCCTTTCACTCTTACTCTTGAGTGAAGGTGGTAGGATTTTAAGCAGAGCGTTTGATTTCCCGATTCCAGGCTGAAGGCGTCTCCGTAGCTGGAGAAAGCCATTTCAAAAACACCAGATTCTGGGCACTCTGGGCAGAGGGCATGGGCAAAGCAGAGCTCAGGGCTGTCTGGCATGGAGGAACTGACACCACAAGCAAAACTGAAGGCTTGTCACCAAGCTCCACGGTGATGGTTAGCTTGTGTGGTTTAGGACAAATATAGTGGCCTCTCTGTTGAGGGACCTCCTAGCCTGAGTGGCAGCAGCTTCTGGTCTCATGAGCTATGAAGAACTGGGGATGGAAAAGGACTGCTTGCTGAGTCAGGATGAGTGTGCTGCCTCGGAGCTTGCCCTGGCCCCATGGGGACCTCAGCTCCCGGCTCTGGCCTAGGAATAAGGGAACTCTGTTAGGAGTGCGAATGGGAGCACGGCCCACTCCAGGACCTGAGTTCTTGGAGTGGCTCCCGTCAGACACCATGGTGCCTGAACCGGGCCGCTGCTGTGTGGTAATCACAGCGACCCAGGAGGTCTGGTTGGGTGAACCTTGTCATCACCTCAGGTTGGGCCTGAGCACTAGGCTGCTTGGCGGAGAGAAGTGGGTGCAGCCATGGTGGGGGACGTGTGGCCTGCGGGCCTGATGAGGCCTGTGAGGTCATTTGGTCTGGCCCTTTAAAGACAAAGGCAGGCAGGACTCAAAATTCAAAGACTCCACAACAGGCTAATTTTTTCATAAATAATTTGGTGTGATTTGTGAATGATATTGTAAATATTCGAATTCCCCATCCCTGGGCTTGAGGTTAGCACACTCTGTTGGTAGGCCTCAGGGATCGGATGGGGCCCGAGTGTAAGCGAGAAGGCGCAGGGGAGATCCTGAGGCAGTGCCGGGCTGTTTGTTTGCCAAATGGAGCCACTGCCGTATGGCCAGCCTGCCAAGGAGCCGAGCGCTAGCTTCTATAACGTTCTGTAACATTCACAGTGGACGTGGCTGCCATGGTAAGTGGCTGCAGCACTCAAGTTTTCAGTCTGAGTGCCTGAAAGGATGAAGTTGTTCCTTGTTGAAATGCAGAGGAATCTGGGTGGTTGGGGAGGTGGAGCAGAGGCTGGGGTGCAGGGACAAGCCCATTTGGAGCTGGGGGTGTGCGAAGCATCATCACGTTGATGGGGGAGCCGTGAGGTGGAGGAGTGTGGCGGAAGGCCGGCCTGCTGGACTGCTGAGAAGTGGGAGTATGAGGGGAATCCTGCAGAGAGCGGGGCTTGTCTGCCACGAGGGGGGATAGCAGCCGGAGCTGGAGGGCCGTGCTGGGTAGGGAAGAGAAGCTGGAGCTTGAAGGCTGGGTGAGATGAGGGTGTCATTGCTTGTCGTCTTCCTGCGGTGGCTCCCACTTGGGAATCTGGGATGGCTGGCAGTGCCTAGTGGCTGTAGCCCCAAAGCCTCAGACAGAGAGTGGGCAAAGGGAAGTTTAGTAGAGGCCTCCAGGAGGGTATCAGGTATGTACCCCCCATTTCCCTGCTTCTATCAGGGGACCGTACTCTGACCTCCAAGAGGGAGCATGTCAGCCTTGAAAATTGACATTACCCTCTCAGTTTTTTATCCAGGAGCTCTTTTGGTTTTTTTTTTTTAGTATTTATTTATTTGAAAGGCTGAGTTATGGAGGACAGGGTATTGGAGGAGAGAGAGATCTTCGACTTGTTGGTTCACTCTCCAAATGGCTGCAGTGGCCGGAGCTAAGCTGGTCTGCAGCTGGGAGCCAGAAGCTTCTTCTTCTCCCATATGGTGCAGGAACCCAAGGACTTGGGCCATCTTTCACTACTTTCCCAAACACATTAGCTCAGAGCTGGGTTGCAAGTGGAGCAACCAGGACTCAAACCAGTACCCATATGAGATATCAGCACTACAGGTGGTAGTTTTACCAGCTACCCCACAGTGTTGGCCCCCAGTCCGTGAGCCCTTTAAAGACTCCCTTGTAACACCCCGTATTGGAATGCTGGTGTGAGTCCTGATTCCTCTGCTTCAGATCTGGCTTCCTGCCAAGGCATCTACAAGGTTGGGACTTACTTGGGTTCTTGCCATCCATGTGGCTGATTTGGGTGTAGTTCCTGCCTCTTAGTTCTGCCTCAACCAGCCCTGGTTTTTATGACATTTCAGAAATGAACCAGAGAATAGAGTATTCTCCCTCTCTTGCTATAAAACAAATAAAACTTTAAAAATAATAGTTTCTTGGTATAACAAAAAAGAGTAGGATGAACAATGTTTGCTTTCTTTTCACCATTAACTTATAGAGGATCTAACGTGTAAAGTTTTCGTCGTTATTATGTAAAAAATTAAAATTTCAGTTTGTTTTCTGTTTCACCAGAGTGGTTTAACAGGTTTAAAAGCTTGCATGTTGGAAGACTTATTTTTGTTATTAATTTCTTTATTTTAATGCATTGTAATAAAAGTGCCATTTATGCCTAAAAAAGAAAGAAAAGACTGCCTTGTACCTCCAGCTTGTGGACTCAGTTGGCCTTGATGTTGGTGTCTCAGAGCAAGGAGTTGTGGGACTGGCTTCGTGTCTGCTTGGCCCAGGTGTCCTCAGCAGCTGTCCTGAGAGCTCTCAGCTGTGGCAGGTTGGTGTGTGGCACTTTGAAGTGTGTCCTGTGGTGCAGCTTCCGGCTGGAAGGAAGCAGCTGTACTGGTAAGCATTGAATGCCAAATCAAACCCCTCACTGAGGTTTCTGGGTTGGTGTTTTTCTTCCAGGTGGCCGACCTGAAAGCAGCCAGGCAGCTTGCTTCTGAGATCACTTCCAAAGGAGCATCCCTGTATGACTTGCTGGGCAAGGAGGTTGAGCTGAGGGTGAGCAGTGTCAAAGTAACTTCCCTCACCAAGCACATTTCCTCTTCAGTTCTGCTTCTCCCTTGTGTCTCTTGGTTCCTTTCAGTTGTGTAACTCATGCTTCCTGGGAGAGTTGTATCAAACATGAGCTCCTCTTCCTGCTCTGGTACGTGCCAGCTGAGAGAGGTGGATGTGTGTTGTGTGGCTGAGACTGTCCTCCCATGCCTGTGCCAGCCCTTCTGGTCCTGGTGCTTGTTCCTCACAACTTCCTTGGCCGCAGCATCCTTCGTGAGAAGTGCTTGGCTACACCCACGTGTGCCAGCCTCGCTACCTGGGGATCACCAGGGAATCACTCTGATGACATTGGGAGTTGCAGAAATCTCCTGGGTGACACTCACCACAGCAAAGTTTGGGATTGCTGATTGGCAGCCGCTCCCCATCAGCTGCAGTTGATGTGGCCTTGGGAAGGAACTTTGGTGCATCCTTATTCCATCCACTGCCTTTAACCAGCGTTTGGCAGTGGGTGCTTCCCTGCCCTCACCCACTCCGCCACACGTTAACCTTGCCTGGTGCCGAGGCTGTCCCCCACCAGTGATCACCAACCACGGCAAGGCAGCGAGCTCTTCCTCTTCAAGCAAGCAGCGAGTAAGCAAGCTGTCCCTGTTGGTGGTGTTTTCCCCGTGTGGAGATGAAGTGCACCACTCAGTAGAGGAAGCACGGATGGTGTTTGATACCTCGGCCATGAGCCTCGTCTAGTCCACTTGGGTTACCATGACAGCATGCACTACCCTGAGAGGTGTATAAACAAACACACATGTCATTCTCACCGTTCTCGATCAGGGACCCCACAGGTGTGATAGCTGGTGAGAGCCTGTTCCCTCCTGCTAGACCTTGTGTGACCAGTGTCAAAGAGCTCTGCATGGTCTCTTGTCAGGGCGCTCATGCCCTTCCTGGGCATACAGCCCTGTGACCTCACCTCCCAGTATCATCATGATGGGAGGATTTCAACACAGGAGCCGGGGAAATGGGACACACGTTCAGTCTGGCAAACCTCATAATGCAGCCCACTTCTCAGAAGCATCCAGTACTGCCACCCTGATTGGCTCCTGGTTAACACGAGGGTTGGGACAAGGTGAGCCTGAGTCAGAGATAAGCACCATGCAGGGCTTAGTCACAGGAAACTTATGGAGCTGATAAGGGATGCAGGCAGCACATCTCGCCATGTTGTTCGGGAGTCACATGAGCAGAGTGGCGATGAGGATGCAGATGTAAGGGAGAAGAAGGCACTGTTGCATTCACATTTACAGGTGGAGTTGGTGCCCGCGGAGCTACAGGCTGAGGATCCTGAGCTGTGGAGTGAGGCCAGGAGGGCATTCGGAGCCTGGGCCGGCCTTGAGGGAGGCGAGGGGGAAGTGTGGTATCAGAGATCCACACTGCAATGAAATGTTGAGAATTGGTCGTTGAGCCATGTCTAGATCTAAGAACATTGGTTTTGAAACAATTTTTCTGAAAATATATGAAAATGTTTTTTTGTTTGCTCTAGGAACTGAGAACAGAAGCCATTGCAAGACCGCTGGAAATCAATGAGACTGAAAAAGTAATGAGAATTGCAATAAAAGAGATACTGGTAAGATTACTCTGCTTTTATTATTTTAAAAAGTTTGAAAGGCAGAATAACAGAGGGAAGGGGAGAGACAGGAAGATCCCCCTCCGGCTGGCGCACTCCCCAGATGGCCACAGTGGTCAGGGCTGGGCCAGGTGTGGAGCAGGCTGAAGCCGGAAGCCAGGAGCTCCATCCGAGGCTCCCACATAAAGAGGCCCATGTACTCAGGTTGTCTTCTGCTGCTTCGCAGGCCCATCTAGCAACTGAGCCAGCACTGTAGGGGGCTTAACCTACTGCATCACAACACCAGTCCCTATTTAATATTTTTCTTCTTGGGACTCAGAAATACCATTTTCTTAAGTGTTCAATCCACAAACAAGGTGGATGTAATAAGTATTTATTAGGGTCTGGCACAATGGCTTGATTGGCTAATCCTCCTCTTGTAAGCAGCAAGATCCCAATTGAGCACCAGTTGTGGTCCTGGCTGCTGCACTTCCCATCCAGCTCCGTGCTTGTGGCCTGGGAAAACCAGTAGAAGGTCCAAAGCCTTGGAACCCTGCGCCTGCGTGGGAGACCCAGACAGGCTCCTGGCTCCTGGCTTCAGATTGGCTCAGCTCTGGCCATTCTAGCCACTTGGGGAGTGAATCAGCGGATGAAAGATCTTTTTCTGTGTCTCGCTTTCTCTCTTTAGAACTGCCTTTCTAGTTAAAAAAAAAAAATTAGTGGGGAAATTGAGAATTTATAGAAAAGTTTTTACGAAATCTTGCCTGCTTCTTACTGTTGTTTTTCCCTTCGTTACAGATATTAGTTTCTGTTGTTACTGAAGGTTAATGCATTATTTCAGTACATAATGCATTGTCTTACTTTACGGATTCCTCCTGGCTGGCCAAGTCAGTGTTTTCTAAGCTTTCTTAATGTTAAAAAGCGCTGCATTGGAAGAGTGGTCCCCAGCCTATCCGCTCAGCGCGTTTGCTTCTCTCATGCAGAGGCTTCCCTCGGAAGGCAGACAGTGACAGGGAGTCAGCTGTGTGATCTGAGCCAAGTTGCCAAGCTGTAGGTCCCTCTGTCTCTTCAGCTGTGGAGTGGAGAGGGTGCTGGTGCCTGTGGCGTGGGGCACTGGGAGCACTGATTGTGACTGTGCAGGCCAGGACTGATCTCATCTCTGACTAAGAGACCAGAGACAAGTTTTACTTTTCTGTGAGTTTGTGATTCTTTGTAGTTTGAAAATGACACCCTCCTGTTTGCCAGTGTCCTGGCTGAGTCAGCTGCACATGTTGCAGTCATCTGTGGAAAGCCTCAGGTGGGCACAGTTGCTGTCCTGGTGGCCATCCCTGAGGCATCTCCGGTGTGGGAAGCATCAGTGATCCCAGCAGTGCAGATACGTGGGAGGAGTTGGGAAGTACACATCATTGTTTTTAGAAAACCAGGGAAAACGTTTGCATTTACACATTGCTCGTCTCATGTAATGAACAGATTATATGTAAAAAGTAATTTTTGTTTTTAATGTCAAATTGATGTGGTGGGTTTTAATCTGACTTTGACCCTGTGAGTGGGCATGTGCCCACTGGAGGCCCTGGAACTGCAGTCAGTGCTCTGTAGGACTGCTGTCCTGCAAGTGTCGTGGTGTCCAAACAAAAAGAGTCAAACCACTTACACTCCTCCATGTACCCCAAAGCTACAGAGAGACCTGCAAGTGAACAGGAAGCCTTTGGGGGTGTCGGCTCTTGTACCAAGCCCTGCAGGGGGACCATCTGGGATGGGAAGACACCTTGGGGATGCAGCCGGACTCCTGCTGCAGCAGACAGGAGCTCTGAGCTGCCAGGCTCCTGCCTGAACCAGCCTCCCAGGCATACCCGTGTGAGGATGCCATGTGTTGCTTTGGCCACAACTGCTTCCCGTGGACTCTCAGAGAGCAGAGATGTCTGTGGCTGCCAGCCCTGGCCCCGGCCCTGTCCCTTTCCTGCCCAGCCTGCTGTCCGGGCTCCTGTTGCACAGCCTTGCCACTGATTTTACCAGCAGAGTGGCTCCTCTGGAGTGGAAAGGAGAGGAACCTTCTTCTCTCAGTCCCAGCAGGCTGTGGGTCAGGGCTGAGCCCACCACGGGTCGTTTCGCATTCTTCCAGTTCAAGTGTACTTGTGGGAACAGCTTTTCTGAAAGTGGCCGTTTCTGACCAGAGGAGCCGCCTGATTGCTGCCAAGGGTAGCCACTGGCTCCTGGTGATATGTGCCCAGTCACATGCAGGCACTCCAGGCAGATGTCAGACCTCTCTCTCTGTCGGTCTGGACATCGATCATCTTTGTATCTCTGGGTAGAAATGTACCCATATGGGATCCTGGTGAATGATTTTTTTTTTGGATCTCTGTGACTTTCCTCTTGGAAATAGTTAGGTGGATCCTTTTTGCTTTGTTTACTGTAGTGCTTTCTGCATGATATTGACAGCTGAGAGTTGGAAAGTTCCTCTCAGGAGTCAGAGTGGTGGTCCTCACTGACATATTGTCTCTGTTTCCTGTCAAATGCAGGTGCAGGTTCAGAAGACAAAGGACCTGCTCAATAATGTGGCCTCTGATGAAGCTAATTTAGAAGCCAAAATTGAAAAGAGGAAATTAGAACTGGAAAGAAATCGGAAGCGTCTCCAGACCCTGCAGAGCGTCAGGTAAATGTGAAACGAGAATACGCTAGACCAGGAACGAGGGCTGACGACAGTTCACGGGCTGTTTCTGAGCAACTGGGAGATTACGAACGTTCCCAACACCAAGAAAAGATAAATGTCGAGGGGACACATATGCCAGTTACCCTGGCCTGATCATGAAACATCCTTTGCATGAATAGAATGTTGCTGTACCCCCAAAATATGTATAATTACCATGTGTTAGTGTTTTGTTTTCAATATTAACTTGTGAGAGTTACAGGGAGAGTAAGAGGGAGAAACAGATCTTGCATCTGCTGGTCCACTTCCCAGTTGGCTACAGCAGCTAGAGCTGGGCAGTCCAGAGCCAGAAGTGAAAGGTTTTTTTTGGCTCTCCCACATGGGTGCAGAGGCACAGGCACTTGGGCCATCTTCCACTGGAGGATCTTTCTCTCTGTCTCTCTTTTCTGTATATCTGCCTTTCCAATAAAAATAAATAAATCTTTAAAAATTAGTTTAAAAAATACATTTTTAGAAATAAAGGGGCAAGCATTTAGGCTTGCAATTAAGACACTGGTTTAAGACAACTGCACCCCGTATCTGAGTGCCTGGTTGTCTTGTCCTGTCCACTTCCGGCTCCTGGCACACTCTCCTTCCAGTGTGGCAGCATTAATGGTTAAACTAGTTGAGTTCCTGTCACCCAGAAGGGAGACTCGGGTTGAAATTTCGGCTTTATCCGAATCCTAGTCATTACAGACATCTGAGGCATGAGCCTGCAGATGGAAGTTCACTATCCATCTTTCTCTCTGGTTCTCAAATGAACAAATTAAAAATAGGGGACCAAAAAGTAGAGGGTTCTCGCCTGTGGTGCTGTAAGTTAAGTTACCATTGTGACACCTGCATCACTTCTGTTGTGCTTCCACCCAGCTCCTTGCTGGTGTGCCTGGGAAAGCAGCAGATGGCCAAGTGCTGGGGCCCTGCTGCCATGTAGGAGACCTGGAAGGAGTTCTGGGCTCCTGGTTTTGGCCTGGCCCAGTACTAGCCATAGTGACCATCCAGGAAGCGAATGAGTGATGAAAGATCTCTTTGTCTCTCACTCTTTTAAATAAATGAATATTTAAAAGTAAAACAAAACAAACAAAAAGAAAGGAAGGAAGGACAGAGACTGAGGGATTAGAAGGGACCAAGTGCCAGAGCAGTGAGAAGGCCTCTCAGAGGCATCTCTGTCCCGAAACGTGCCTGTGTTGCTTGGTCCACTGAGCAGACTGCCTGACTCCTCTTTCCTGCATTTAATTTGTCTGGAAAACCACTAAATTCTTTAAGCTTTTATAACTTCTTGGAATGCAAAGCAAAATAAGTAAATCCAGATGGGGAAAGTTACATGAGACTTGTTCTTGGAAGATCTTGCCAGAAACAAATGGAAACAGAAACATACTCCCATCTCGTGGTTTGAATAGATTCTAGATTTTGATGACTCCTCACTGGTCAGTGAGATGTTTTTGCTGACTTGACCTCACTGGGAACACATTTTCAGAGAATAGTCATGGGTCAGAGGGGCTCAAAACACCTACGTTCATGGGACTTCTGCAAAAAGATTAATTTGTCCACTTATTTGAAAGACAAAGGTGAGAGGAAAGAGATTAATGGATCTATCTTTCATGCACTGGTTCACTCCTCAAATGACATCAGCCAGTTGAGAAGTGGGGCCGCCGGGATTAGAACCAACGCTCATATGGGGTCCCGGCACATTTAGGGCTAGTGCTTTAGCTGCTATACTTTTGTGCTGGACCCACGTTCTTCTTTTCTTATTTCCAAACTTTTATCACTATTTTTCACTGTTTTATACTGTCACAGTAATATAGTTGTTGAAGTACTTTGCACTGGTTCTTACACTGGTTTTATAGTAATGCTTTGGAACAAAGAATTCCTCATTTTTCTGGGAACTAGGTGCTGGAACCTAACCTGGTCTGACACACCCTAGACCCAGTCCACAGTGCAAAGGAATGCTATAGCCATGTCCAGTCTAGTTCGCTGTCCCCATTCCAGCTGTCATGCTCACCAGAGAGAACCACAGCCCAGCCAGGGCATCTCCTTAGCTCCCCGACCAGGCCTGTTCCCAACCACAGATTCTGAGTGTGCCAGTGCTTATTCCAATCCAGCGCTGAATAACCCATCCCCCATCTTGACCTTTGCCCTCAGATGCTGCAGCCTGATTGGCCTGGCCTGGCCTGCACCCCACTCCCTACCGTTTGTCCCAACTCTCATTGGTGGGTGCTGCAACCTAGCCCTACCCAGCCTGCCTCTATCCTTCACTTTCATGCAAACTGGTAGGTGTGATAGCCTAGTGTAACTCAGCAGGTTCACACCCCACCCTGGCTCCTGTGAATGCCAGTGTGCTATGGTTTGGCCCAGCCCTGCCTGATAAACTCCCGGAACCAACCCACATATTTGCCAACAAGTAAAGCAGCCTTGCCCAGTTTCACCAACACCCAGCCTTGACTCTCGTACTCAGCAGCGGGAGTGATGGCCTACCAGGGGGGTTCTCTCAACAGCCCATTCCCAGTCCCAGATTTCACGCATGCCAGTGATTACTAGATCCTTGCCTGGCACAGTCTGCCCCCCAGTCTCAACCTTTGTGTGTGCTGGTGGATGTTGTGGCCGGTTTGCCCCACACCCTATTGTTGGGTGTGCTTACAGGTGCTATAGCCTGGACCAGCCCAGCGTGTTCCCAATCCCAGCACCTATGAGTGTTGGTGAGTTCCATGACCATGATCATATCTAGCTCAACCCATCACTACCCCAACCTTGAGCAAACCAGCTGGTGTGGGAGTCCTCAGTGGTGAGCCCACGATCTCCCACAGTTTGCTCCAGACCCAGTTCTCTCATGAGCTGGTTAGTGTCATGGCCCAGCCTAACACTCTGCCTCAGTACTCACTGGTGGGTACTGTGGCCAAGCCCTGCCAGGTGGGCCCCCAGCCATGGTTTTTGTATGCACTGGTAGGCTGTGGTCGATACCAACAAACCCAACTCAGGTTTCTCATATGGTTTGGTGTACTGATTTGGCCTCAAAAGGTCTTCCAGTTTCCCTGCTCTAAACCACCGGTCTCAGCCCCCTTGTTTACCTGCAACTCTAGTAGCTTGGTTTGGTGGAAGTCCCCCAAAAATCATGCCTTACCTGTCATGTTCTCCCTCAGCAGTCCTCCCTGCCACACATCTCCAGACCTTCTCTGAGCAATCCACAGCCCCTCATGCCCGCTAGCTCACAGGCCCCCAGTCTTTCAGCAGTTTGCTGTGGCAGCCTGAGGCCTGCCTGACTACACAAGGCCCCCGCACACTCACACACAGGTCTCCAGACCCGTCTGCTGGCTTGCAGGCATCTGCCCCCTACATATCTTTAAAAAAATTGAATAGAATAAGGAAGTATGCTGGCACACTGGTATGGTTAACACAAATTTGGCATTCACCAGGCCCAGGATGCCAGCCAGCTGTTAGCTGCTTTTCTCACAGCAGTGGAATGCTTACCTAGGTACAAGGCAGCTGAGGCAGCTGTCTGCAGCTGGGGTTGTTGGAAAGTTAATTACTGTCTCCCATTCAAGTACTAACCAGGCTGGACCCTACTTAGTCTCTGAGATCAGACAAGATCGAGTGCATTCAGGGTGGTATGGCTGTTGACAGCTAATTCCGATCTGTATGTGCAGAAAAGTTTGGAAAAATGTGTATCGGGAATTAAGGGCTTATACCTGGAGTTGGGATTGTAAGTGATTGTTAGACTTCATGCCTTCTGGATCATTTCAGTTTGTTATCAAGGGCACATTTTTGTGATTTGGAAAGAAGCACCTGGGCTGGTGTAGTAACCTAGCAGCTAAAGTCCTTGCATTACACACACTGGGATCCCGTATGGGCACCAGTTTGTATCCTGGTGACCCTGCTTCCCATTCAGCTCTCTGCTTGTGGCCTGGGAGAGCAGTCGAGGATGGCCCACAGCGTTGGCACCCTACACCTGCATGGGAGATTTAAAAGAGGCTCTGGGGTCTTGGGTTCAGATGGGTGCAACTCTAGCCATTGCGGTCACTTGGGGAGTGAATCATCAGACGGAAGATCTTCCTCTCTGTCTCTCATCCTCCTCTGTATATGTGACTTCCCAATTTAAAAAAAAAGAAGAAGAAGAAGCACTGTTTAGGGGTGAAAAGGAAAGTGATTGGAGTGAAGGCCTTCTCTAATCAGCCCTGCCAAGGAAGGCCAGAACAGTTCTGGAAGCTGAAGAGCAGGTTTGAACTCCAGTGTGTGCTTAATCCTTTACTGCTTTGTCGCGTTAGGCCTGCCTTTATGGATGAGTATGAGAAGATTGAGGAAGAATTGCAAAAGCAGTATGATATTTATCTCGAGAAGTTTCGAAATTTAGCGTACCTAGAACAACAACTTGAAGATCATCATAGAATGGAGCAAGAGAGGTTTGAGGTAAGCACTCAGCCTGTCCAAACAGCCTGTTCCTTTTGGTCTATTGCTTTGTACTTGGTGACATCCACTCGCACATGTCACCCTCATAGTCTGGAGTTGTTGTTGGAAGCCTCGTGTTTACCTCCCGGCTTAGTCGGTTGTGTTAGGTTATCCGGGTTGGGTCACGTGGGAGCCGTGTGGTCCCACAGCACGTGAGCTGTGCCGGGCTTGCTGCCCTCTCTGGGTTAGTGTGCACTGCACGGCTGAGCTGATCTTGAGGACAGTTCCAAAAACTTGCTTCATTGGTTCATTTAAGGTTTATTTTCAAGCCCTAGTTACTGAGTCACCCAAGATAATTCATTAGAGACTGCTTTATAGAGAGGAGTAGAGGTTTACTGATTGTGGAAAACAAGTATGAGTGACCCAGAACCCACCTGACCAGCTGTCCAGTTCCTGTCAACCCATGCTTTTCAGGAGAGAACATTCCAGATGCTGGCATATGTGGAATTCTGAGCAGGGAACGGGGAACACGCTGTCACCACATCTTTTAGGCATGGTTCATCTTTACCAAGAGTAGTCATTGAGACTCTGTGGTCAAGGTAGCATACCATGTCCCTCTTTGCCACACTCTTGACAACTTTGAGTTAGGTAGGCTGTTGTACAGACTTGGCATTGGGATGACGTGGAGTCACTGTGTTGTCCAGGGATGACCAGCAGAACTGATGTGTGGACATGTGCTAGCTACCAGTGTGACCAGCATCCCATATCAGAACATCCCAGTGGCTCTGTTTCCAGTTCAACTCCCTGCCAATTCACCTGGGAATGCAGTGGAAGATGACGCAAGTGCTTGGGTCTTGCTGTTGGGTCTGTGTTGGAGACCCAGAGGTAGTTGTAGGCTTCTGGCTTCTGCCTGGCCCAGCCCTGGCTGTTACGGCAATTTATGGAGTAAACCAGTGAATGGAAGATGTCTTTCTGCCTCTGTCTCTTGCCCTGCCTGATGCCGTGCCTTTCAAATGAAATACATCTTTTTACTAAAATATATATATATATTTTGTGTATATATATATATATATTTATTTATTTATTTTTATTGGAAAGGCCAATCAGATTTACAAAGAGAAAGATCTTCTACCTGCTGTTTCACTCTCCAAGTGGCCACAACAGCTGGAGCTGAGCCAATCCAAAATCGGGAGCCAGGAGCTTCTTTTTGGTCTCCCACATGAGGATCCCAAGATTTTAGGCCATCCTTCACAGCTTTCCTAGGCCATAAGCAGCAAGCTGGATGGGAAGTGGAGCAACCGGGTCATGAAACAGTGTCCATATGGGATCCTGGCGCTTGCAAGGCAGAGATTTAGCCACAGAGCCATTGCACTGGGCCCTAAAACCCATACTTGCTTCTCGGGGAGTCAGAGGCTGTACCTGTGCCATCAAACCTTGTCTGTTGTGCTGCTGTCCCATGTACTCACGTGGTGATGCTGAGTCGTATAGGAGCACCTCCCACAGTGTGTGGCCGACTGGACCTGCTGGTGCTGGTTCTCTTCCCCTTCCTTTCACTCTCACTGGTTCTGAGTGTTACACTCAGCCGTGTCACACTGTGTAGAGAGCCAAGTCCCCAGCGGGGCTGCCTCTTCTGAGCCTCACTCCTCATCTTCCACAGGAGGCTGAGAACACCTTGCGCCTGATGCAGAACAAGCTGAAGGAGGAGGAGAGGCGGCTGCTCAAGGCTGGAGGTCAGGCAAGCTTTCTCCAGAGACTTCTTTGGGCCCCCTCTGCTACCTGGGAGAATTATCATACCAGTTTTTTTTTTACCTTTGCTTTATTTATTTATTTATTTTTAAATTTTTATTACAAAGTCAGATATATAGAGAGGAGGAGAGATAGAGAGGAAGTGGAGCTGCCAGGATTAGAACCAGAGACCATATGGGATCATATGCATTCAAGGTGAGGCCCTTAACCACTAGGCCACGCCGCCAGGCCCTACCTTTGCTTTAAAAAGTATTTTCTTTCAACTCTTCTTTTGTTGTGGTAGGATCTGCTGTTTTGAATTTTTAAATGTGCAAAACATAATTATAGGTAAAGAAATACCCCAGAAGGCAGTTTCTGAGGTACCTTTTAAGTCCATTCAAGAGATTGGTTTAAATTACATAGGGGTTAAAGTGCATTTGGTTCTTGCGCTAATTGTAGTAATATGTGCCCTGTTTAAATGATACATTTAGTTAGAATTATTTGTAACTACAATAGAGAATTTGGCTTGGCATGCTGAAGGCAAATAGGCATTGGAACTAAGTGGGCACGCAGGGGAGGGCCCACATGTGTAATGATAGTCCCCCCTGCCCGCTCAGAATGTCCCTAGTTATGCGGACTCACTCGGCAAGGTGTCCGCGGGTAGAGAGGCAGGCAGTGCCAGCGCGTAGGCCTGGGTCCTGGAAGGAGTGCTCTGTGCAGCTGACTCACACTCCTCTCTGCCAGCCTCCCTGTGCTGTCGAGCCAGCAGCAGGGGCACGTGGTCTGGCTGTTGAGTTGACAGCTTTGCCACATTGGACTGGACTTCTTGCTGATGGCTTTTTCTGGGTGAGATCTGTTATTCCCTCTTGTATTAAGGATCTAAACCTGAAGCATCAGGATCTGCCATTTCCTTCTGCATCTTACTGTCTGTCTGTTTTCTGGGCTGTCTCTAGTGAGTTTCAGAGCCTGCTGAGAGGCCCCTCTTACCAAAGCAGCTCCTCTCCTTTCTGGTTTCAGGTCAACTGACACCAAGAGCAGTCCAGCCTTCACTTCCCAGTAGTGAGCAAGGCTGGATACTGGGGTCTTGCTCACTAGGCTCGCTTTACCTACTGAACTCAGACTTCAGACAGAGAGAGTTCTTCCATTTGCTGGTTTACTCACCAAGTGGCTGCAATGGCCAGAGCTGAGCTGAGCTGACCAAAGCCAAGGAGCTTCCTCCGGGTCTCCCACATGGGTGCAGGGTTCTGAGATCTTGGGCCATCCTCTGTTGCTTTCCCAGGCCACAATCAGAGCTAGATCAGAAATGGAACAGCTGGGACATGACTAGCACTGGTATGGAATGAAGATGCCACAAGCTGGAGGATCAGCCTGTTGCCAAGCTGAATTTATTTCAAGATTTATTTTGTATTTGAAAGGCAGAGTTACAAAGAAAAGTCTTACAGAGAGATAGTTACAGAGAAGCATCTGTTGGTTCACTCTCCAAATGGCCACAGTGGCCGCGGCTGAGTTAGGCCAAGGCTGGCAGCCTGGTTGGCAGGGGCCATCTTCCATTGCTCTCAGCCTCCATAACTGAGAGCTGCATTAGAAATGGAATAACCAAGACTCCAACTGGTGGCCATAAAGCATCCCAGGCAGCAGCTTTACCAGCTGCACTACAGCACCAAGCCCTAACTGTTCCTTAAAGCTTTTTGGGAAATGGTGATTTCCAGGTTGGTTATATTAAAGCCCTTGAGGGATGCACTGACATTCTGTGGCTCACAGAACTCACATCTCAGGGTTCTGTTCTGTCCCTGTGTTGTCTTGGACCCAAGTGGGTTTTGGTTTTCTTTGCAGTGACAGAGCTCCTCTTGTGCTTTGCCTCCTTGTGCTCCTGCCAGGTAATGATGACTCAGACATAGACATCCAGGAGGACGACGAGTCCGACAGTGAGGTGGAAGAGAGGCGGCCGAGCAAGCCGCGGACGGCGATGGAGGTGCTCATGCAAGGTAGTGCAGCTTACTTCACACGTTCTCGCTATGTCCTGCGTCACAGGACGCCGTGCTCACGCTGGAGCCCACCTGTGTGTAGTGAGTGACATCGGGTCTACCACTGCTGTTGTGCTTAGGCTCTCACAGTGCTCTGGGTCATCTTGGCACTAATGTGGTTGCCCCACTCAAGGCCGGGCCTTGAGGTTCATCGCATAGACCTGGGGCCCCTGCCTGTGTTGGGAAGCTTCACTTCTGGAACTGGAGCTGCCCTCAGCGCCATTCATTATATGCCTGTGGCCAGAGTTAATGTGCAGCACAAGAGCCTAGATGAACACTACTGGCTTTTCAAAAATGTTCTGGTTTCTTTTGTTGTAAAAGATTCAGGCAACACAGTTGAACAGATGTGGTTGTTCCCGCAGGGCCTGGCCTGTCCCTTCCCACCCTAGAGTGCTGTGTGTGCTGGCGGCCTTTCTGCAGATTGCCTTCCATGCATGTGTGCACACACTCACACATACACACAGCCAGATGTAGGCGCCAAGATGGCCTGAAAGTTCTTTAACTTATGTGGGATGAAACTATGTGTAGGATTCTGCATCTTCCTTTCAGTTTTTGTTGTAATTACTTTGTAAAGATTTATTTATTTTTATTGGTAAGGCAGATTTAAAGAAAGAAGGAGAGACAGAGAAAAAGATCTTGCATCCACTGGTTCATTCTCCAAGTGGCCACAGTGGCTACTTCTTTTGTTTATAGAATATATAAACTTTATTTATTATACTTCTGAGCCGATTAGAAGCAGGAGCCAGGAGCTTCTTTCAGGTCTCCCATGTGGGTGCAGGGTTCCAAGGCTTTGGGCCATCCTCTACTGCTTTCCCAGGCCACAAGCAGGGAACTGGATGGGAAATAGAGCAGCAAGGATACAAACCGATACTTATATGGGATCCTAGCTCTTTGAGGTGATTAGCCAATTGAAGTAAAGCACTGGTCCCTATTATTATTTTGAAGATTTATTTGTTTATTTGAAAGGCAGAATTGGGCCTGACACAATAGTGTAGTGGCTAAAGCACTCACCTCGAACACACCAGGATCCTAAATGGGCTCCAGTTCTAATCCTGGCAGCCCCGCTTCCCATCTAGCTCCCTGCTGTGGACTGGGAAAGCAGTTGAGGACGGGCTAAAGCCTTGGGGTCTTGCACTCGTGTGTGGGAGACCCAGAAGAAACTCCAGGCTCCTGGCTTCAGCTTGGCTCAGCTCCAGCTGTTGCACCCACATAAGAAGTGAACCAGTGGATGGAAGGTCTTCCTCTCTGTCTCTCTTCCTCTCTGTATATCTGATTTTCCAATAAGAAGAAATAAGTCTTTTTAAAAAAGAAAGAGTGACTGAGAAGGGGAGAGAAATCTTCTACCCACTGACTCAGTCCCCAAATGCCCACAGGTGTCCAGGACCGGGCTTTATTTAAGCCAGAATCCTGGAGCATCACCCTGGTCTCCCAGATGGGTGCAGAGACCCAACCAACCACTTGGCCCGTCTTCTCTTGCTTTTCCCAAGCCATTAGCCGGAAGCTAGATTGGAAGTGGAATATCTGGGATATGAACCAACACCTGTAGGGGATGCCAGCACGGCACGTGGTTGCAGCCCCTGTCAGTGTTTAAGATGCACCATTAACAATGGAACTTTTAGGTCAAAGATTCCGTAAAATCTTATTGTAATAGGTGCTATCCAGTTGCCCTGTTTTTTTTTTTTTCTTAAAAAGATTTGTTATCTACCACCTGTCCATGTTTTGCACAATTTTCTTATATAGCTAATACATTTCAAGGCTAAAGCCATCTTCATTTCATCATTTTGTGTGAGTTAAGCTACCTAATCTGAAAAGCTCTGAAATATGAAATTTCTTTAGTAGCTCAGTACTCAAAAAATGTTGATTTTGGGGTTTTTGGTTTAGGCATGCTCAGACAGTGAAGTCTGCAGAGGTCTCCAGATCTAAGCAACTCTTCAGGCATAAACTTTTATTGTTAACTGTTTTCTTTTAGTCCCAGCTCAGTGGTCTTCATTTATTATGCTTCTTTTTGATATGCTAATTAGGTGTCCTAGTTTCCTTTTACTTTTTTGAGATTCTGTAGTAGCTTCATGACATAGCATTTATTAAGTTTGACTCTTAAGTTGATGGGTGGAAGCCATACATAAAACATGTTCAATTAGCCCAAGACCACTTAATTTGAGCGTGGGTTCTCCTAAATTCTCTAGGTTACTTGGCCTGTAGACTGGAGTCACATGGTCCTTTTCCAGGCCTGGAAGCAAGGGCTCCAAGCGACATGTGTTCTACGTTTTGTGGGACTGTAGAGGGTTTTCGTCATTGGTGCTCAGTCGTCCCTCCAGGCCTGCCCTGAGCCAGCTGCTCTCTGTGCCACCCACACAGGCTCCTCCTCAGGCCGAGCTCCTTCTTGGGCCTCCCGTGTAGGTGCAGTTCTGCCCTCCTAACGGTCCCCTCACTTGGAAGACAGCCCCAGAGTTCTAGCAGTAGCCATGTTTGAGCATTCTTGACCTCCATGGGAGGAATAGAAGACACCTCCGATAATGAGGAGCTTTGAAAAGCAACCTATTTAAAAACCAAACCAGAATCCACATAGAAATCCATAAAGGTGGAATAATTTTTGCAATAGTTGCTCTGCATGAAAACTAATTAGAGTTCAGTGACTGTTTTTCCCCAAAGCATTTATAGATTACATGTGTGTTTTCTTTCAGATTTATTTATTGGTTAATCTGAAAGGCAAAGCAACAGAGAGAGATAGATACAAGGAGAAAGAGAATTTTCATCCACTGGTTTTCTCCCCAAATGCCCATAATAGAACTAAGCCAGGAGTCAGAGACTCCATCCTGGTCTCCTGCACAGTGTTGGGATCCTTAGTACTTGGTCGTCTTCCCCCTGCCTGCCAAGGTGTGTTAGCAAAGAGCTGCGTGCGAAGTGGAGCAGTCAGACCTAGAACCAGTCAGTATTTCATGTGGCTGTCCATCCATTGGGCTACAATACTGTCTCAACACATTCCTTTCTTTAATGATTTTGTGTTTATATCTGATTTCCTGTTTTCTTTGTAGGACTCAGAGAAATTCCATTTTGACTAGTTGTGGTTCTGATTAGTTGGTTGTACTTGCATGTATTCTTTAGTGTTATTCTTCCTTTTTTGCCAACCTTTCTAAGGGAAAGCAAACATGTAATGCCATTTTCCAGGATTTCATGACTAATTCCTGATTCCCCTCCTGCCCCCTCAGGACGACCCAACAAGCACATCGTGGGCACCATGCAGGGTGGCGACTCTGATGACGACGTGAGTCCTGGCCTACCCCATTAGTGGGTCCCTGTCCTCAGGTCTTGGGCTGAGGTGCTGCCAGCAGCTCGGGATCTATTTGCTGTCAGCCCCGCTCGGAGTTTGGCCTTGAAGGAGCCAGCCTCCTGTCTTTGCTCACTGATGCTGTATTTCTGTCCACGTGCATGTGCTTGTTATACTTTTTTTCGCCTTCTCACTGTTCTTTCCATTCTTGCTTTCAAAAGATGGAAGCAGCACCCGCACTCTTAGGTAAATCCAAGACTTCCAGCTCCAAGAAGCAGGTTGGTTTTCATTTTGACTTGACTGTTGGTGTGTCTGCCCACTCGGGGCCCACAGAGAGCACGCCCAAGACTGCTGCCCCTCTCCTGGGCAGGAAGCCGCTCCTGAGAAGGGATCATTGGGATGGGACAAGAACAGCATCAAGCCAGAAGACAGGGAAGGTTGTGACTGGGGGGTCGTCAGACAGTTGAAGCATGACATAGGCATGAAGGGATGACACAGGACCAGGGTTCCAGGCCAGTCCTCTCCTATGCCCGTTCTGGAGGAGGAACATAGAGATGATGCTCCCGTGACCAGGGCCTCAGGGAAGCCAGGTGGAGACTGAGTCAGACCCGAAGCACCTCAAGTTTTGCTGACTTGTAACTGAGTCAGAAACCTAATGCTCTCTCACTCTCAGCCTTTGTTTTCTGCAGTCGCTACCTGTGCACAGAGGTGACTGTGCTGGCCTGTCCCAAGCCAACTCTACTACAGTGTGGGACATGGCCCACCAGACAAGGTAGCTCAGAAAATGGGTCTCGTGTTCATGGGAGACATGTTAGAGGAACCAGGAAAGCACCTGGGAAATGAATGGTTCCAACCAGGCAGGTGTGAGATTAAGTAGCTCCCGTCCATCTGACTCCTCTGTCTGGCAGCATAGGATCCTGGAGAGTGGAGTCGGCTCTCCTGTGAGGATGAGCTGGCAGCGAGCTGCAGAGCTCAGTGCCTCCTCGATGCCCGTTCTTTTCCAAGAGCCTGCATCTGCACGTCCTCCTTGGAATAGTACCCAGCCACAGAATGTGCATCTCTCAGGAGCTGGTCATCGGCCAGATGTGTCCAGGGTGGTGGGGACACAGCATGGGTGGAAACAGCCCAGCCCTCAGCATGGGCTCACACCAGCCATACCAGGACTGCAGTAGAATGAAAAGCAGAGCAGACTTGAGGGATAAGGAGTGACAGGAAGGGGTTGGGGAGACTTCTCTGTGAAGTCAGGGCTCTCTGATGCGGGGATATTGGAGGCCTGAGAAAGGCAGGTGGCTGTGGTGGGCATAGTGGGTATAGCGTTGTACTGGGGAGGGCTTCACAGGATGCAGTGAGGAATGAGTGTGGCAGAAAGGAGCTGGAGAACCATGAGCCCAGGAGTTGTCATGGTCCTGGTATAGGTCAAAAGTGAACACAGCTGAGCCTCCAGCAGTGGTAATAAAGGTTGTGAGCCACAGCTAGAAGCTGGATATGTTTTCAGGATCACATGATTGTGTTGATCAATTGACATGAGTGTCAGGGAAAGGGAGAGACTTGGTCAGCAAAAAACACAGGGCTTTGTTTTCTAAGCTGAGGCCCCTTGAGAAGGGGTCAGAGCATGTCAGGGTTTGGTCTTGGATGTTCCTTGGGTGAATTATCTGTGAGACGTTCCCATGCCTGAGTCAGTGACCTGTCATAACTGAAGCCCGGGGAGGTTGGAGATGTGACCTGAGAGCCATGGTGTTGACGCTGTGTCAGGTGCGGCCCACAGGCCAAGCGTCATCAGAACTTCCCTGAGAGTTTCATTCTGAGCCGGAGCAGTCGTGGGGATTGGTGTGATAGGAGGCTGATGAGCAGGTGCATACAGGGGAACCAGGGAGGACAGTAAGTTCAGCAACTCGAGGAGTTCTGCTAGAGGAGCACAGTGGCAAGAGAGGCAGCAGGCTCATGTTTTTGGCTTTTGTAAGAAGGTTACAGCATCTAGATTCACTGTCAGGAAAGGGGCTGGAGGTGGCCAGCCTTGCTGGTTTACATGTAGCACAGAGCTTGCAATGAAACAGACGAGGTTGGTCACCCTGGACCTAGAGAAGGCTCGCTCTTCATTTCACCCCTTATACCCACTGCCTGTGTTGCTTTCTATCTTCCACCCAGATAGAGCCGGTATGGGGTGCTCCTGAGGACCTGGGAAAGCCAGCCCTGCAGCTGCCAGCTCTGACGCACACTGGGGTGCCATGCTTCTTGGGTGTGTTCCATCCAGCGCTGCACAGCCCACAGTCCTCTTCTCAGGCCCCACAGCCCGGCAGCTTCTCCATTGCTGATCGTGCTTTTATTCCTTGAGTTTCTAGTGGAGAAGCATAGGCCAGTCTGTCAGACAAAGGGAAGGTCTCAGTGGTGAGATGGGACCCCTGTTGCATTTTGCTGTCTTTTCCCTGTAGGATGACTCGGAGGACAGTGAGATTGACATGGAAGATGATGAAGAAGATGATGATGATTTGGAAGATGAGAGCATTGTTATGTCACCGGCTAAGCCCAGCCGAAGGGTCCGAAAGCCTGAGCCCCTGGATGAAAGTGACAATGACTTCTGACCCCCTTGCCAAGCACGTTACAAACTTCAGGCTTGTAGGTAAATGGAAGATGGGAAGGCTGGGAACTGGACGTGTATTCTGTTCCCTATACCAGCTGGACCTGTCACTGTTAATGCAGTTATTTGTTCTTGCATTTTTGCCTCCCACATGTGGATTCCACAGAGTTTAAATAAGAACTGTCCCAAACCCCAAAGCCTTGCTTTTGCCTTCTTTATCTCCTGCCACCTGCTTAGTGCTGGCGTTCTCAGCGATCCACACCCTTGGGACAGGAACTCCACAGCTGAGTCTCAGCTGCTCCCGCGCCTTTCTCCACGGGAACCTGTCTCAGGTGTGGCAGGCCTCTGGCCCCACCAGCAGGGACGTGGGCGGTGTCCCACTGGTCACCACCAGTGTGTCTCCTTAAGGGAAGGAACCAATTCAGCAAAAAGGTTGGTCAGGTCCCCGTTTCTTTGAATAAACCAGAGTGAGTCAGGGAGCAGCATGGAGGAATGCGCGTGTGGTGATAAGATGGGAAGGAAGTGGAGTTTGCTTTTGTTTGCTTTGATGTGAGTAGCACAGACTGCTCATTTGCCTTACAGTTGTGAAGTCAGAAGCTTTGTGAAGTTACTTGTCTTCTAATGAATGTATTGAATTTAGGTTTTGATTTATTAAAGCTTTCCTTGGAAATAAAATTCTTTGCACTCATAACTTAGAAATACTTATTCAAGACAACTTCATAGGTTTGTGCCATGTAAATTGTAGGCAGCTTTATCCTCTCCCTCAGTGTCATGTGGGGGACCCCTTCTTCTCTGGCTCTCAGCACTCAGCTAGTTCAGCAGTGAATGTCGCTGAGCCACATGGCAACCATGCGCTGGAAGGGAGTGCTGGGAACTGAAGAGTCCCACATTGCCCAGGGCCTCACGAATGTTGTTTACCTGAGTCTGACGTGTGCTTTAAAAACTGGATAAATTTTTCTCTGTCTTCCTTGTATGCTCTTTGACCCCAAGCTGAGTGTTATATCAATGGGTACCCTTGTAGGCAGAGGCCATGTTCTCCTGTCTGTTTATAGACAATTCTTCCTCCCTGGGTTAACTGGGTGCCATGACTCCCATTGGCATGGTCCTTCCTGGTTTGAGCAGTAATTTGTCAACAAGGAATTGTGTGAACTTAACGGTCAGTATTAATGCAGGAGTACTTCTGTCGTGACCTGTCCAGGACCAGCATGATTTGGTTTTGACCAAGCAGTAGGGCAGACTTCAGGTTCTAAAGATTGTGTAATTGAGTCTGAAAAACTAGCATTCTGGTCATTGATGGCAGCGTGGTGTGTTGTTAGTTACTTCTATTTATTTGAGAGGAACGAGGCAGAGAGCTTGCATCTTTTGGATTACTACTTCAAATGCCTGCCACGCCTGGGTCTGGACTGGCTGAAGCTAGGAACTGGGAACGTGATTCAAGTCTCGGTGGGAGTCAGGGATCCAGTTATCCGAGCCATCACTGCTGCTTCCCAGGCTCTGCATTAGTGGGAAGCTAGAGTCAGGAGTCAGGGGCTTGAGCAGGGAATCAAGTGTATGCTTAGGAGTGGGGCACAGGCAGCTTACTTGCTGAGTAAATACCCAATCCCCCAGCTTTGTTTCACTAATAGCTAAAGAACTTTTTGAAATGCTTTAAAAAAAAAAAAGATTTATTTATTTTTTTGGAAAGGCAGATACACAGAGAGGAGGAGAGACAGAGAAAAAGATCTTGCATCTGATGGTTCATTTCCCAAGCGGCTGCAATGGCTGGACCTGAGCCAATCTGAAGCCAGGAGCCAGGATTTTCTTCCGGGTCTCCCACATGGGTGCAGGGTCCCAAAGCTTTAGGTCGTCCTCAACTGCTTTCCCAGGCCACAAGCAGGGAGCTGGATGGGAAGTAGAGCTACCGGGATTAGAACCAACACCCGTATGGGATCCTGGCGTGTTCAAGGTGAGGACTTTAGCCACTAGGTCATCTTGCCAGGCCCAAATTGCTTTAAAATGTGTACACTGGGGTCAGTGCAGTGACACAGTGGTTAAGCTGCCTCCTTTGATGCTGGAGTCCCAGAATGTGAGTTCAAATGCCAGCTGCTCCACTTCTGGCTCCAGCTCCCCTACGTTGATGCCTTTGGGAAAGCAATAAGGGATGGCCCAAGTCCTTGAGTCCCCGACCCACGGATGGAAATCCAGGTGGAGTTCCATGCTCTTAGCTTCAACCTGGCCCAGCCCTGTCATTGCAGCCATGTGGGGAATGAATCCAGACAGACTATCCCTCTGTCTGTCATTCTGCCCTTCAAACAAATACATTAAGTTGACAGAAAATGCAAAGGTATTGCTAGCTGTCAACTGTAAAGTCCGAGAAATCTGAAGACTAACACAAGAAATACAGGGTCTCCTCTTAACATATAGAATGGCACCAGTGAAAGGAAACCCCCAGCTGTAGGCAACTGCTTGCTGGGGTTGCCTTGTACCCAGGAAAGTGTTAACACTGCTGGAAGAAAAGCAGCCAGTAATTGGCAGGCATTCTGGGCCTGGCTAATGCTAAATTGGTGTTAACTATGCCAGTGTGCCAGCATACTTGCTTGTTAAAAAAAAAAAAAGATATACGGGAGGGGGACCTGCAGGTCCCACTGGAAGAAAACCCTAGGGCCCACACCAGTGGAGTGGGGAGGGCCCAGGGAAGGAGGTTTGGGGATGTGTGAAAGTCGGAGCCGTACCAAGGGAGTACTTTACAGGAATGGAATGACTTCTGGAAATTTCCACAGACTGGGGGGCCACTGCACTCACAGGTAAATTAGGGAATTTAAGACCAAGTAGTTTAGAGAGGAGAAACCTGAGGGCATGTCTGGATCTGGGCTGGGTCAGATGGCATCGTCTACCACCTACTGGCACACATGAAAGCTAGAGCTGGGTGGCTTGCCTCACAGGGCTAGGCCTCAGTACCTGCCAGTGAATGTCGGGGCAGGGAATGGACCATACAAGGCTAGGGCCATGACACTGATAAGCACATGAGAGAACCAGCTCTGGGGACAGATTCTGTAGGGAATATGTGGGTTCAGCCCTGTGGATCTGCAGTGCCCACTGGCTTACATGAAAGCTAGGGGTGGTGATGGACCAAGCTAAGCATGACCACAGAATTTACCAACACTCATGGGAACTGGAATTGGGAGCAGGCTGGGCTGGTCTAGGCTGCAGCACCCGTTACCATACCTGAGGATCAGGTTTGGGGGTAGTTGGGGTTTGGTAGCAGGCCTGGTAGGGAAACTTGAAGAATTCTCCTAAGCTGGTAAGCACAAGCTATGACTGGGTTAGACTAAGCCTTAGCACCCACTGGCACACATGAGAGCTAGAATGGGGTGTGGGCCATGCTGGACCAGGCTAATTCACCCATTGATTTACATGAGAGCCAAGGATGGGGGCCATGCAGGACTGTGCCACAGTACCACCCACAAGAGTTGGGGCTGGAGGTGGACCAGGCAAGGCTAGGCTGCATCTGTTGACAAGTGCTGAGGCTGGGTCAGAGCCACCAGCATGTGCAAGATCCAGGCTGACAGCGTGCCTGGTAGGGGAACTAAGGGTACTCCCTTCTAGGCTGTGGTTCCCATTGGTGAGTGCATGAATAGGGTTGAGGGTAGACTGATCTGAATATGGCTGTAGCACTAGTCAGCATGTGGGTAAGCTGGGCCCATGGGCAGGTCATACTTGACTAGGCCCTAGTGCCCACTGATACTTGCAAGAGCCTGGGTGGGTGTGGGGCAGGCTGGGCTAAGTTGCAGTACCCACTGGTCCACATAAGAGCCAAGTCAAGGGGTGGGCTATGTAGGGCTGGGCTGTAGCATATGCTGGTGAGAGCTGGAATGGGTGCAGACCAGTCGAGCAAGGCCACGGTACCCACTGATGGATACCAAGACAGGAGGTGGGCTATGTCAAGTTGAGCTGAGCACCCACCACTGCACAAGATCTGAAGCTGGGAGCTGGTCTGATACAGGAACTTGGGGAATTCCCCTGTTAGGCTATAGCTCCCACTGGTGAGCCCAAGAGCTGAGGTTAGGGGCAGCACAGGCCAGTTTGGCCAGTTTGGACTACATGTGGACCAGGTCTAGGGGCAGGTTAGGCTGGGCCATATCATAGCACCCACTGGCAGGTATGAGATCTAGGATGGGGTGCAGGCTGGGCCAGGTTGGGCTGCAATACCCACCAATTCACATTAGGGCTAGGACTGAGAGCTGGCTGGGCTGGGAAAGCCTGTAGTACCCACCAGCATGAGCTGGGACTTGGGGCAGCCAGGGCCAAACCAGGCTGCAGCACCTGCCGGCTGGCTTGAGGCAGGCCATGCCAGACTGTGCCACAAAGTCCAGCAGCACATGTAAGATCTAGGACTTGGAGCAAGGCTAGTTGGGGAACTTCAGCTAATGCCCTGCAAGACCGCAGCTGCAGCTGCCACTGGTGAGCCTGAGAATTGGGACTTGGGGAGGGTCACCACATTTGCTGGCCCGCAAGAACTAGAATAAGTGCAGGTCATCCAGACTTCACTGCAGCATTCACTGGCAAGTGCTGGGACTGGGTGCAAGTCATGTTAAAGCAGGACTGTAGTACCCCCTGGTAAGTGTAAGATGTGAGGCTGAGAGTGGGCCTAGTAAGGGAACTGTTGACACTCCTCTACTGGGCTGCAACTCCTGCAGATAAGTATGAGAACCGGGGCTGGGGGCAGTGTGGGCTGGACAAGGCAACAGCACCTGTCGACTTAGGTGTGGGCTGGGTCTGGGTTGAGCTGAGCTAAGCTGCAGCATGCATAGGTGTGTATGAGAACTGGAGGCATGTGAGCTGAGCCAGACTAAATACTGCACATGCAGGCATGTGCAGGAACTGGAGTTAGGGGTTGGGCCTGGTGGGGGTTAATGGGGTCACCCCCACAAGGCTCCAGTTCACACTGGTGTGTGTAGGGCTGGGTTGAGCTAGGCCATAGTACCAGTCAATTTGTGTGGGAGGTGAGGCTGGGGGTGGAACTGACCAGATAGCTGCATTCATCAGTATGTGTGTAGACTGATGCGTGTGATGAACTAATCTGGACCCTGTACTAATTAGCATACAGAAGAGTCAGGTCTGAGGTCACCCCAGACAAGGTTTCTTGGGGGACTCTCCAACTAGACCACTGGACTCAACCCCTGGTCACAGGGAAAAATCACAAAATATGAGATCTGATCTTAAAGTACATGTATCAGGATTGGGCCTCCTCAGCTGCTGATGCCTGTGCAGTGGACAGCATG